AGCCCGGCCGGGCTGGACCCCTTTGTGTCCTCCGCGGTCGCGGAGCGGCGTGGGCTTCCTCGGGTCGGCCACCGCCTCCGCGGCGGCCGGCCCCGGTCGCGGTGCCAGCGTTGGCGAGGGGAGCCCCGCTTAAAAACTGGGGGTCCGGGCGCCGTTCCTCTCGCCGACCGGACCGAGGAGGCTCCGGCCCTGCAGCCTGGAACCCTTGGTCTTCAGTGGGCGTGCAGCAGGCGGCCGCGGCGAGCCGCTCTGTGCTTCGGGGTGACAGAGGTGGTAGTAGCTCAGAAAGTCACGGTAACAGCGGTGGTAGCCGGGCAGAAGAGTGATTTTTTTTATTTTATTATTTTCTTTTTTAAACGGTGACTGAATTGCCAAAAAAACCATCAAAAGGCGCTTGTGACCGAAACTTGCTCGGTGCTGTGAGTGAGGCTCCGGAGCGCATAGAAAGGCTGAAGATGGCTTTTTTGTTTGTTTGTTTTTGTTTTTGCTAATTTCATCTTACCTGTCCTTTAGGCTGTGTTTATCTTTAAATTTCTGTTCTTGGTAAGGCAGGTTTTTCTTCTTTTTACCCTTTCCACACCAGACGAGAGAACACACCTTGGCTCTAGGTAACTCTTAAAATTATGCTCCAAAAGGATGTCAAGGAATTACAGTGCAGTACAGTTCCAGAGATGAGCACCAGATTTTATTATATTTTTTTTTACTTATGGTTGACAACTAGTTGTTTGTTTGGTGGTGGTTTTTTTTTTTTTGGAAGGGAAAGAAATCTGAGTAAAAACGTGAATTTTTTTAATGCCGCCTTTGGGCCTTGACTATACTTCTGAAAACTGAGCAGTTAATGGAACGTCAGGATAGAAATTTCACATCTTTTCTACCCTCTGGAATATATTTGCTGTCAGTGACATGTTTTAGACAACATTATGTGTTTTAATATGACTTTTTTTTTTTTTCCTCTATCCAAAGGTAGTGAAAAAGAAAATATCAAGATGAGTAAAAAGCCTCCAAATCGTCCTGGAATCACATTTGAGATTGGTGCTCGTTTGGAGGCACTGGACTATTTACAGAAATGGTATGGAAGACATTGTGCAGTGTTTGCTAAGAGCGTAATTATGTTGTGTATAGTTTATGTTTTGATGTCTAACTATAAAACTTAGTGCGCTTATTGACTGCCTCACGTGTGAACTTTATGAATTTCCACATAATAAGTCTCTTAAAACTGTTAGTTTTTAGGAAAATATTCTCTCTTCAGTAATCAAACTGACGTTTTCTACAGGTTTTCATTTGTTTGCTTGTAGATGCTTGTGCAGCTGTAGTAAGCAAAGAGCATTTCGAGAGTAGTGTGGAATGCAGCGCCATGTGCAAGACGATCAGTACGTTAATGTGGCAAACTTCTGTGACTAAAGACTTCTTTTGTTTTAGTTTGAAGGCATGCAAGGAAATTTGCTTTGTATTCAGTTATCACACTTCATAATTCACAAAACTGACTTTAAAAAAAGAAAACATCCTTAATCGGAGTTTGTGGACTAGGCAAGTGTGATTGTATTTGTATCAAACAGTTGGAGGAATGAAGTGCTTAAAATTCTGATTCTGCACCAGCCAGTCATATCGTAAGAGTCAAGACTATAAAATGGAAATTTGTGGGCATAAGGATCATGCTACACAGCATGTGTGTTGTGAAAGGAGTTGTTCTTTTGAAATAAATTGTCAGTCAAAATTTTATTAATGCAAGTGGGCTAATTTCATGATGTATGCTGGCCATGCTCTTTCAGTTTGAAAAATCCCTGGTTTTGTTAAAGTAGCTGACAAAGGAAGTTGAAGCTTATACCCAGTTTTTTCTTAGCTGCTCTCTGACTAATTAGGGCTAAGAAATGTAGAGGCCTGTAGCTGCTTTTCTGTTGTGTTCCTAGAGAGCTAAGCATGTTGCTGTAAATGTCTGATCCTGCTAACTCCAAGTTATGCGATAGAGAAGTCTGTGTATTATTTACATGCTTACTTCAGTAGCTATATGCTCTGTATAAAAAGTTGGGTTAAACTTTTTATCTGTAGAGCTTTGATTTTAACTATAGCAAAGGTGTTTGCTTTAATAAACTATCTCTAAAGGAAAATACAGTTTACAGAACAGTTCTTGTTCTTATCTGTTGCTGTAGAGTGGGTTTTCAACATACTAATTCTATAACTGACTGCTAAGATCATGAAACTGTCTGAATAATGCTATAAAAATAAAATAATTTTAATGGAACTTTTTATAGCATCTTCTGTGACTAGAGATAATTAGTTAATGTAACCAGATAACAAAAGTTAATATGTAAAACCAGCTTCAAATTAATTGCATCAAAAAAAAAAAATCACTGAATATGCAGTGTATAGTTTGTATCAGATCTGCCCAGCCTTTTCACAGGGAAAGGTCACATGTCAGTTCTGGAGTACTTGTCTAGGTTTGGCCTTGTCAGGTGTGAGCCCTGTCGCAAGCTCTGCAGCTGAGTTGCTTGGTATTTTCAAGCAGAATAGATTTTATCCTGAACTTTCTAGGAATTGATTCATCATTTGGACCACCAGGTAGAAGAGGTCAAGTTTATATGTTTGTGAACTTTTGTGGTGCCATATATGGGAGCAGACAGTTAATATTAAAATTTTGCAGGTACAGCAACACTACAAACAGGACTCTTTCAAATGAAATAATACTCATGTACATAACCAAAGAGCTTGTTAGAGGAAGCCTACTGTCTTATTATTCGGGTGACATGGGCCAGAATAATAGTCTGTGGAATTTTTTTTTTTCTTAGCTTTCTGTTGCATAAGGGGGTGGTGGATGTTTTTTAAATTCTTTCTATATATAAGCTGTATGCATTCCCCTCATCTGCATGCAGAAATACATACTTTAAAGAAAATAAAGTTGCTGAACTTACGTGAAATCTCTATATTTTTTAACAAAACCAAAATTGAAGAGCAGTAATATTGCTTAGCTTACTCTTTCTACAGGTGACAAATTGAGAACATTTGCTGAAAAATAGCCTTTGAAAGGGTTTTAGTTTTTTTCTCCATTTTTCTGAAAGCCTGCTGTCATTTAAAGATCCAGTGCTCATGACCAGTTAAAATATTAATCAAGAAAGGCTTCTAGAGGATGGGAAAAAAATATAGTAAATTATGGTTTTGCTTTCTGAGGCACTTCTGCAGGTCTTAAATTTTCATCTGTGTAGTAGTTGCTGAAAATCATCTCATGGAATCTGGTGTTCTGTTTGAATTCTGTAAACTTTGGAGAGGTTATTGTGTACCTTGACTATTTATTGCTTAAAACCTCTGTACTTTTAAATGGGAAAGTTTTTGCAGACAGCGTTTGGGTCAATATCATTTGGCTTGTACAGCTACCGAGTAGAAGAAAGCCTGGTCAAACTGATCAGCAAAGACAGGCTGTCAATGAGCGTGTTTATTTTTGCTTTATTGTGGAGGTAACTGCCATTGCTTCTTTATCAAGTGCAACCGTATACTGTTACAGGGGAGGTCATCTTACCTAATGAATTTGTACCAACTGTTAAATTTAAAATCACTAAAGCAAACTATGAAATGCAGCGCTAATCAAAATCAATGTGATCATCTGTCAGCAGATAGTAAATGAGATAGGATTGACTGATAATAGAAAATTATTAAATATATACGAGATGATCAGGGGCCTGGAGAGTACAACTTGTGAAGAGAGGGCGAGGAAACTGGACTTGTTTACCCTGGAGAACGCTTCAGGAGACCCACTAGCAGCCTTCCAATATCTGCACTGATGTCATCAAGAAGACTTAGCTAAGCTCTCCACAGTAGCGCGTGGTTGGAGGACAAGAGACAACAGGCACAAGTTGAAACGAGAGATTCAGGCTAGGTAGAGGGAGAAGCTTTTTTTCCCCATGGGACAGTCAAGCAGTGGATCAGGTTGCCCAAAGAGTTTGGGGAGTCTCCAGCATTGGAGGTTTTCAAGACTGGGCTCGATAAAACTCTGGAAAACCTGGTCTGATCCCATAGCTGACCCTGCTTTGAGTGGGAGGTTGGACTAGAGGCTTACTGAGGTCCCTTCCAACTTGAATTATCTTATGATCTCATAAAAAACTCATACATGTGCACACCCCCCCCCCCCCCACCTCTCACTGACAAAACAAGTGAAACAGCAATAAAACTGCACTTACCTGAAAGTACGCGCCCATGTGTAAGACTGGTTCTTAAGCTGTTAGCTCCCACAAGTAGGACACAGTCTCTGCAAGGTTGATGTATTTAAAGATGCATCTCTTCCTTTTTTCTCTTTTCTTGTGTCTTTTGTAGCTCTAGCTCCCTACTGGTTGTCCTTTAAGTGCCAGATATTGCTTTGAAAAAAACAGTTGTTATTTTTCTGAGACAATAGTCTTTATTAATCTGCTTGTTCTAAACTATGAGTTAGGTAATGAAGGAAGCACAGATACATGACCCTTGTTGCAGTTCTGAAATGGAAACAGCTCACTAAAGTTAGTTATCAGAGCAGCAGTACTTTGACTTGGTGTATTTGTTTATCTGGATGGATTTTTTTCTTTTTTCAGTATGGAGGAAGCTTTTTGCCTGTAAGACTGGGAAACCTTATTTTGTAGTCCTTGCTTTGGATTTCAGTTGACTGGGTTTCCTGACAGCCAGGTATTTGAAAGGACTATGAAGATTCTGCTTTGTATTGATATAATACAATATATGTAATAAAAACCGGGGAGTTAAAAATAGGTGTTTGCAGATTTTGCAGATACAAGAAGACTTTTTGTGGAGAAGTCAGAATGAAGGGTATCTGGTTTTATATCCTCTACCAAGTAGAAGGAAAGACTCTTTATACCATTACTGTGAAGGCAGGAAGTATGTGTCTGTTTCTAGAGTTTGTAGGTGCAAACATGGGCAAATTTACTAATGTTTTTGCATCCTTTTTTACAGTCTGAAATAACTGTTGTGCCAGCTCACAGGGCAATTCTCCACTTTTTGGTTACTTTTGAAGGATCAAAAGGAAGGTGGTGATGATGTAAAAATGTAAAATACTGTCTGTGTGGCCATTAATGTGTGTAGAGTGTGTTGGAGAAAATGGGTATTTTTTTCTTTTACACTGTCAAGAAATGAAAACTGCAAGTTTTCCATATGAACGTTGGACCATTGTTGTTGTCTGACTGGTGCTTCATAGTGTAAAATGTAAGCCATATTCAATTTTGCAGCTTTACAAAAATGTTGCATAATTCTTATGGGTTGGAATCAGTAGAACCTGAGAATGGAGAACGTGCAAATGTGTAAACTGGGCAAATGCTATCAGCTAACAATAGTTTTCTTGTTCTTTAAAGAAGAAGAATACCCCCCCCCCCGAAATTTGGATTAAACTTTGTTTGGATAATTAAATACTATTTCCAGCACACTATTAAAAACCACACACCCAAAACTTGCAGGTTATTGTTTCTTCCCACAAAAAGAACAGTTTCATTATTGAACTGGAGCATGATGGTCTTTTTTTTTTTTCTGTGAAAATTAAAGACTTTTCCCTCAGTTCTTTAGAGTGTATTTTTCTGGTTTGTGCTGAACAAATGTTGGCAAATCTGTCTGTATACCAAATTCATTCTGATCCCTTAGTGTGGAGTACTTGCTGGGGGTGAATGGGGAGAATTAACCTGACTTGGAAGGTTGTTTGGGCCTTAGACATCGTTACACTTCAGTACTGAAAAAAGTGATGTTTGTATTCCCCTTTGTAGTACTTCTTCATAATGCCTACTTGTAGCTTTGCAATGGAAGGAATTTCTACATAAAATTTCTTATGTGTACAAGATGTAACCATCTTCATATTAATCTTCTTTCTACAGAATAGATATAAACATTGCTCTTAGCCCTAGTAAAAGCTTTCCGGTATGCATTGTTACTATAATTCTTTAAAGAGGCGGATTAAAAAATTTATGTTGCCATTTTATTAGCAGGAAATGCATACTTACCTTTGAAATATTTGTATGATTTTGCAGTTTATGAAATTGATTATTTTCAGTAAAAGTACAAAAGCTGTAACACCAGAAAAATGTTTCTGTGCAGTGTAAAATTTGCAATAGTAAATTCTGCAATACGTATGTTCTGCTCTTTTCTACTATGGGATCAGTATTGTGAAATATTGCTGTTTATACATATTTGTAGCACATTGTGTGGCTAAATTTAGTGGGTACTGAGGGTAATAGCTTGTTGCTAAATCCATACAAAGTTATTTTTGGTTTGCCTAATAACCAATTGTTTATAGCTTGGGTGGTTCAAAGATTTGCTAAATCTTCCATCTCTGAGGATTGGAGTTGAGTGCAGGTTTTGGCTATATTCATCTTGCAACCACTGTCTTAACACACATTGAAGAAACATAAATTACTGGAATAAAGCCATTATGTGATGATATGATTATTATAAGATTTAACTGTGCAAAAGGAGTATCATGGACTTTGATTCAGAACTAATAATGACATTTTAAAAAGACTTTGATAGCAGAAATTGTATCTATCAAAGAGAAATTAATAAATACCTGGTGCTGCATTTCCTCTGTTGAATGATCCCCAATGGGACTTAATATTTTGCATATCTTTTTTTATTAACTGATGCTAGCTTTGCACTTTATTTCCCCCCCCATATATATTAACGTCTTGATTCTTGGCTTGCTGAATTTTCCTTAAAACTAACTTAATTTTTATACATTTGTCTCTAAACCATACTCTGTATTTTACCTCCCTCTCTCACTCAGTTTTCTCTTTCCAGGACAGTGTACCTTATTTTGCCAGTTTATCCCTTCTGTTGTCTTCTACACACAATGCTTGGAATGGTGACTTTGCTGACCATGACCAGTGAAAGCTACCAGCCATAACAGCAATAAAAATGTAGCAAGACAACTGCTATAGGGTAGTGGCATAATGGGGAAAGAATATTTGCATTCTAGATGGGTAGGAAAAGGAGAATTCTGTCTTTTGGCTGATGGTCCCTGAATTTTGTTAAATAACCGTAGTTTTGCATCAGTACCTTGCTCACATTTGATGAACCTGAAATTTCCAACTGTAGTGAGAAAGAGCAGCATAGTTCTTGCCTTCCATTTCACTACTGCAGCTTCAGTGCTTGTGCACAAGGCTCACATTTTTGATGGTTACAAAGTGAACTTCCTATCCTCTTGCTCTTCTGATGTTTTTCCTTCTTTCCCTCTGTTAAATGCTTTCTCTGTCATCCTTTACTTCTCTTTGGAACTCTTTTAGGTAACATCACTACTCATACAATTTGCTGTAGTAACAGTAACTTTACTTTTCCCTCTGCTTTGCTGCTCTTCCTGCTTATTCTGACACTTGGTGTCTAGTTATAAGAAGTCTGAAATTGGTATACTTGGGACAATGAAAAAACTATTTTGTAATAATATTCCTAAATGTAGCAGCATGTGGACTTAAGAAGAAAGCGTTGTCAGAGGCAGGGCTTAGGAAAACCGCCTCTTGGCTGACTTATTTTCTTGAAGCCTTGTTCAAAGTTAAACCAGAATGCTGATGATGGGATTCAGGTTTTGACTTAAGAGTTTTACTTTCTGTTTTGATACAATATAACATCAGCTTCAGTGTTCTTGTTAGATTGTTGTTGTCAGTCTGCTTGAGGGGGGGAAAGGGCGTTGATCTTGTTGCTCTTCTGAAAGAAGTTGCATGGAGTTCTCCTAACCTGAAAAAGATTTTGTTAGTAGGATGGCAAATGAGAGTCTCCAGTTTGAGACTAAGACTTTCTTTCTTTGTTTTTAACGTTCAGTGAGAAGAAGTTGGGAACTTAAAGAACGGCTATGAAAATATTTTGCATTTCTGAAATGTATGGATGAGACAAATGCAACAAGAGGCTGGACTGTCTGTGCATTCTGATGCGAGGGTGAAATGTGGCTGAAGTAGTTGCAGTAGTAACCTAGAAAATCAGAGTTTTTCTCATTCAGCAAGTCCCAAGATATTTAGATGTTGGGAAGCTGTGATGCAGCTGAAGAAATAGGACTGGAGAAATGAAGGACCAAATTGAGATTGACACCTTTTGTTTTAATGACCTGTTTTAGTCACCAGAAAACAAGGAAAGCCTGTATTTCCTGAGAACTTATATTTTACTCAGAGCGTAGTGTTAAAGACTCCTTTGTCAGCACTGTCAGTATTTTAGAGAGAAAGTATTCAAAATTGAAAACGTTGTCAGGGTTCCTGTATATGTCAGTTGCACTTCTAGCTGATAGAATTTTCAGTAGGACTGGAAATTGGTTGCTCAAGCTCTGCTTTCTTACTATTGCTCCACAGTAGCACTTTGTTAGAAAAAGGTTGTCTCTTAATGAAAGACAGCTGTCCTTTTACTGTGGTCTTTCTTTTCAATATGTGTTTTGTTAACTTTAGACCATCCCTAATATAAACTCTGGAGAAATTTTGATGATCTAGTTTGTTTTTTTTAATTCTTTGCACTTTTGAATCCATTTCACTACTTTTGTGAAGTGCAGAAGGAGCTGAATTCTGCCTCGTTCCAATTTTCTCTGCATTTCATACAGTGGAGGAAGTAGTGTGAAAAAACCAGTTTGTGCCTTGCTCCCCTACTACAATTTTGTGAAATATATCACTTTGGTGAAACAGCAATAGTAGGACTGAATAGTAATTGTTGAAGTTAGAGAAATTTGCCATTTTTTCCTTACAAATGTAATCTCAACCTTTATGGTTCCTAAACTACATCTATGCCATACCCAAAATTATATGCCTAAAACTTGATCTGGTTGCAGCTCAGTCCTGATTAGTTCTACTGAGCACGTACAATGTTTGGTGAGAGTAAAATCCATGTGTTAATTAAGACTGACATATTTATTTTAGTGCATGTGGAGTAAAAGAGATGACTGCTAAAAAATAGTCACTAGGAATCAAATTTAATGGCAGTGAAATCGTGGAAGCTAATCTATAATTTAGTAAGTGGCTTAGATTAAGAATGTTCTGTTGACTTCTGGGTTTGATTAGTTGCTCGGATTTGTCTGGAATCAATGTTATAGTCTGATTAAATATTTTGTATTATGAAAGTAATGAATGTACTCCTAAAACTGTTTTATATCCTTTCCATCCCAAAGCAAACAAACTCCTACAGGATTTTGCTTTAGACAGACACAGGTTTTAAAACTGATAAGCACAAACATCTAATGCCAATTTCAGGCAGTTTTGGTCTGGGAGTTTGAGGTTTAAATTTGTGTATAATCATTTGACTAGGATGAAGCTGATGACATATCACTGATGTGTGTAGTTAACTCTTAAACTAAATGTTACCCTACTATCAATTTAGTAGCTTCATCTTTTTCAGACTTGGAGATTTCTCAGTACAAGATGTTACTATATTCTGAATGGTCATGTAAGCACTGTTGTATGAAAAAAATAAAAACCTTTGAAAAAGCTTTGAAATTTATCAGTTTACGTTTATCATTCAAGGTATCCATCTCGTATTGAGAAAATAGATTATGAAGAGGGGAAGATGTTGGTCCATTTTGAACGTTGGAGTCATCGCTACGACGAGTGGATTTACTGGGACAGCAATAGGTTGCGACCCTTGGAGCGACCAGCGTTAAGGAAGGAAGGGCTGAAAGATGATGAAGAATTTGTCGTAAGTGGCACATTTATTTTGTCTTTGACTTTTTTTTTTTGTAAACTGTCCTACTTGTTTTCCTACATTAAATCTCTCTAGCACACAATGTTTCATTCTTTTTAGGAAAAAATCTAAATGATTAAAATATTAATGACTAAATTTGTATAAAATAGGATTTTAAACCTGGAGAAGAAGTCCTAGCTCGTTGGACAGACTGTCGATATTACCCTGCAAAGATTGAAGCAATTAATAAAGAGGGTATGTATTCATGTATGGTCCGTTGGTAAGGACTGTTTGCATATGCTATGCTGTAGCTGTAGTCTGGTTAAAAAACTGACATGTGTATAAAGTTTTCCTCACTGCCTCAATATTAAGTGAAAATGTTTCTATCAAGTTCAGTAAGAGGTTTGTCTTTTATCTGTATGAAATTAGAAAACTGGAATTTCTCCTGGAAGACAAAATACTTAATGATTTCTTAGTGATGAGAAGAATATCCTCTGCACAGTGTTACAAGTGTTTTGTAGTATTGTTGATTTGGGCTAACAATATATTTAAATTTTCATACTTGTTTTAGAAATGGTAAATATATTTAAAGTTCTGTTTGTTGAAGAAAAGCAATGGAAATGGGGAAATAAAGGAACACCTTAGATGCAATACTTCACAATGGAGTGATATTTCTAATGAACATAAATAGAAGTCAAAGTTTTTACTGTAGTTTAAAGTAAACAAGGATTTGACTGTGAATTGAGTTGTTTCCCTATTGTGGCAACTTAAATATTACATCATTCTTTCATTGAATTATGAGCAAAAGTGACACAGTAGCTTAAACATGCTTGAAATTGTCCAAGTGGACAAAGAGTAACAATATAAAAGCCGGGTTTCATTGAGGCTGTCAGTTTTGTTTTTGTCTTAAAATTCTCTATCCTGACTATAGGTAACACCTGATTATTTTGTTCATATAGCCTACAAAACATTTTGCTAAAGCTTTCATAGTAACAAGGTGTGTTTGTTTCTTAACTACTCATAGTGATTACATCAATCCTTTTCTAGGAACGTTCACAGTACAGTTCTATGATGGTGTTATTCGATGTCTTAAGAGGATGCATATCAAATCTATGCCAGAGGATGCAAAAGGGCAGGTAAGAATACTTTAGGTATCTCTTTGTTATGTTTTATATAGATTTTTTTTTCAAACATCTTAAGATAGTAAAAATGCTATCTAGCACAACTAGTTTTAGATTACAGTCTTTATTCTAGGTCCTGCACTGCCTTGCTTCACCAGTTTTATGGATGATGCCCCAGAGTATGCTGCTCAAGTAGTCTTGCCTCTCTCTGAAATGCCTAGCTGCCGTACACTCCATTGCTGACTAATCTGTTCCCAGAGTTTTGTCTTGCAGAGTTTACAAAACCAGGGTCATCCAGAGACCTTTTTCTCTGGTGTCCTTTCAGGATAAAGCTTTAGCTTGTCAGAAGTCTGTGCTGCTGATTTTTAAATTTTTTTTCTTCCTTTTTTTTTTTCTTCCCCACCCTCCACCCCATCTCATTTGTTTGCTACTGTGGTAGCTTTTTGCCCACATGTTCTTATTAACATGACTGTTCTGTGGGTATTCTCTCCCCTGTATCAGAACTTTTGGGGATTCAGACAGATGAATATTTCTTTATCTCTGATAATGTTCAGTTGCTGTTAAAGAAGAGATGCTGAGTAGAAGTTGAGGGAGGCTGTGAAGTAGAGGAGATGATTTAGTCACTAGGCATATCTTTCCTTGCAAAAGGAAAACAGCGTTGAAAACTGTTACATGCTTTCAGTGGAAATGCCATTGCATTGAACTTGCATGGTAACTGTATTCTCATAGTTAATGAGGAATTACTTCACTGAAATTGAAAGAAATGTGAAAAAAATGCTCTTATTTGCTCTCAGTTTTCTTCAGAATACTCCTAACTTGGCAAACAAAATTTGGGTATTTAATAATTACTGTTGGTAACCATCTATACTGTAACAAGGGCAGATGGATAGCAAATTGGCTTGAAAGCATTTCTATATCTTGCCCTCCAGGTTACAGGTAGCTGTACACTAGAGTTGATCATCTATGCAAAGAACACTGGAGCTTTGTGCAGGCAACACTGCACTATTTAAACTATGTTTCCTTAAACGGGTTAAACTGAAATCCTTAGTTGCGCTAACACTGGCTTCTTGCTGCAGTCTTACAATAACTATTGAACCAGTATATAATATTTCAAACAATACTTTCAGTACGACAGTAAGTTAGGAAGCCAGAATATTTAATTTTACTTCATAAAAAGGAAAACTTGGGTAATGTGGTTTTAATTGAACTGAAATAGCCCTTCTGTGACAATGTGAAGTCCTTTACTCTGTACTTTTTCTAGGGAGCTATGTTGTGTCTAATCTGGAGTTACTACTCTTAGGCCACAGGCATTTTCAGCTTTAAAAAAAAAAAAAAAGTAAATCCATTCCTTAGCAACCATTTTGACATCCAGACATGCTTGGTGGCAGACCAGCTCATTATTATTATTTCTGATTTTTCTCAGTAATTGAGAGTTACAGTGTCAGTCTCGTGCATCTCTCGGGCTGAATGTAGGTGGCTTCAGTGAAGTCTTGAGAAACAATAAGGGGGCCAAATTTACACTTTCTGAGATGAATTTAGAATTTTTAAGTTGTCTTGCAGCAAGAACACCAATTATGCTTTCTATAATGCTAATTTATACTAGTCATAGCATTGCATTCTGCAAAATTAGAGATAGGCATTAAGTTTGTAGTTTTCAGAGGCAAAGATACTTTTTTTTTTTCCCTGCAACATCTCCTATATCATTATGCTATGGTAATAAGTTTGTTTTTCAAAATATTTTTGTGGTATTTAAGAATAAAAACGTGATCTAAGATTTGGTTTGAAAATCAGTTTTCTGAAATGGAGCTTTGTCTAAGCCTAGAACTTAAATGGATGTTTTGGGTTTTTTGCATTATTTATTTTATAAGATGACATTTACTAAAAATTATGTAAACCTTAAAAAAAAAAAAGCCAAGACTATAACTTGATTTGAAAAATAGTTGAGTTGGCAGAGCCAACACTTTTTGCTTAATTTAAACCTATGGCTTGTTTTTTTATCTGTTTCCAAAGGAAGAAAATACATTTCAAGAGATGAGTGTAAGCTTAAGATACTTGAAGTGCTAGTGCATTAGCAAATTTAACAAATATAAGATCTGTTTGGAAGGTGTGTGCTAAGCATGCAGAATTTGAATTACATGGAAGAAGCGAGATACAGACTAGTTAATTCTTTGATTTGAGCTTAGCATGTCTTAAAGGAAGAGACTGTAAACACTATAACACTCAACTATTTTTGAGTTGCGGCAGAAGTGTGTTTTAATAAGACTCAGCTGTGAGGATGGAAAGGCAAAATTTTTAAAGAGTGGAAAATACTTGTGTGGTTCAATGCAATGAGACTATAGGTTAGGTTGCTCTGCAGATAAGAGCAATTTAATTGAAATCACACAGAAATGTAGCTAACGTAGTATAGAGAGAAAATAAAAAAAGATGGGGATATTGAGACTGCCCTTGTGAGAGCACATATGAAGTATTCGGATAACTTACTTTTTCTGTTTCATGTTTTTTGTTTTATCTTCGATGTAATTAGGCGCGCGAGAGGGAGCAGATAGCGCCGGAGCTGAGATTAGTGACGGAAATCGAACCAAAAGAAGTGAGTTTTGAGGAGGGTTTTGAAGGAGAGGGAGGGGACTTGGCACACAGGAAGAGGAAGCTGAGGAAAAAGCATGGATTTGCGATTGGGACAGAGGAAAAAAGAAGATGTGACAGGAGACAATGTGAGCCAAGATGTAGGTGGGGCAGACTGTTTAGAATTGAAAGGTGAGGGTAAGGAATCCAGGCTTGATGTGGAATCAGCCAGTCAATAGATTGATGATGTTTTATATATGTGTATGTATGAATGTGTGGGAGTTGGGAGTTGTGATGTGTCAGGAGAGGAAAAACAGCCGACTCTTTAGTACTCTAGAGAAGCAAAAAGGTGGTGGTTGTAGGCAGGTGAAGGGAGAACGATGTGTGTGTGAATTCCATTTGTGCAAGGGTTGGATTTTAGAAATTACTCTGGTTTTGTCTTCCCACTGTTGCAGGTTTAAGGTTACGCAAAGGAATATTTTAAAATGCAAGGGTTTTAGCCAATATGTAAGGCTGTTGTGTAATTTCTACTAACATATTTCTTGATCGTGCAATTTCCTGTGCTTTGATTTAGTGACTCTGATTAGCATAATGACAGTTTTCCTCAGTAGTGATAAAGTAATGTTTTGTCTTTTAACTACAGTGTACCATTACTTCTCTCCTGTCAATTTTCTCAGCTTACTTGAAAGATGAATTCTAGTAAGGAAAAAAAAGTGTATTTCTTTCTTTTTTGTTAAGTTATATATGTAAATGAGAAACTCACTGGGGTGAGATATTGTGGGAGGCAGGAAATCAGGCTGGGTGGTGCAGAGTAACTGGTGCAGAATTATAAAACCACAGCCAATAGAGGGAAAATGTCAGGACATGAGGGAGAAGTAGGGAAAACTTCTCTTAGGAGGATTTTGCTTTTACGTTATGAATTGTTAATGTGTTCATATTTGGGCCCTTGGCTTTGTGTATATTGAATGCTCTTGGGAAAAGTCCTGCTATTAAAGATTTGCAACTAGTTTTTGTTATATCTATGATACTTAGTGTCCTGCTATTATGGTTGACAGAGTAGATATCTTAAAATGACCCTGAGACAGATTTCAGAATTCATTGTGCTTTAGGCTCCCACTGTTATTTTCCCATTTTTTGTTAATATTTTCTAAAAATTCTGAAAAAGGCACAAATATATCCTTTTTGAAGGAGGAGTTCCTGTGCTCTTCAAAAGAAACATCGTCACCTTAGCATCTTAGGTGCTAAATAGTTCTCACATGTCAGGAGCTGTGCAGCTAAGCAGTTGCTCCACAGGAATTCAAGGTTAAAAAGCAGGAATTACCTGTGTCACTTTAGTGCCTGTATGTTTACTCTGGAGCCAAAATAAAAATGGACCCACAGAGTTTCTGGCCAATTCAGAATCACAAAATAGTTGAGGTTGGAAGGGAACTCTTGCGATAATCTTGTCTCCCCCCCCCTCGAGGTTCTCTTCACTGAGTTTAAATTTGCATGTTAATCTAGGAAAAAAGTATAACTATTGCCATAATTAATGCCGCTCTCCTCTGGCTTCTGAATGTTTAACCTTTGTTTGCTTCATTGTTATATGTGTCCTGCTACCCTTTGTAAGCTCCATGTCTTAAGTATCCAAACAATGAAATAAAATGCAAACAAAAACCCCCTTCATGTTGCACCAGTACAGCTACCATTAGAACAGGATACTTAGTTCAGTGTGGTCCTTAAAGCTAGGTATCTTCTGAAAGCTTCCGATTTCAGGGTGCTTAGCTTGACTGAAAATTAAAATGCTGTTTAGAAGCTGTTTTGATGCAGGCTGCGCTTCCTTTGCTTCCCACTTTTATCATAAGATCCAAGCTCCAGCCATTTTACTGATCCTCTTCATCCCTTGGCCAGGGTACAGTGTAAGACTTCTACTCTCAGGTCTCCTAACTCCTCACCAGCACAAATAGCTCAATCCTTTTTTTGTCCTGCTGGATGGGCAAGGCTCTGGATGGACTGGAGCTAATGTGTGTGCTCGTTTTGGCTGGCCAAAAAAGAGGTATGTGTGTTTTTGATTGACTATGCAGCTGGCAGTTAGACACGCTCTTTGTGGCTGGCATGTCACCAAATGGCCTGGGTAGTTGCCTGTCGTGTAAGCATTGCCAAAGCACTTCCAAACGTTGCTGCTGCTAGCTAGACTGAGTCTATGCATCTTGCATTGACAGTTTGGACACGGAACACTTCATCTTAGAGGAATCAAAACTGTTGGTGTTTCTAAGTACATAGCTTGATGCAAAGTAGAAGCATAACCTATGTAAAGCAGTGATTTAAAAGTATTGAGCTATGGAAAAGGAAAAGCATAATACAAGGAAAAGTGATGCTTTGTATTTTGTATTATGCTTTTCTCATACATCAAAGGCAAAGAAACCCTCAATAAGACAGAAATTTGAAAGGCTTATAATACATAATGAGTGGGGAAAAAGTTGCATTGAAATAAGATTTATAAAATCAAGATACTTAGGTACCTTGTATGATAACATAACAATAAGGAAACAGTCCAGGATAAAATATAGTCTGTCTACAGTTGGGGGGGGGGAGAAATTGCATGAGTGTTTTACAAATAGTAAAACTAGACAAAAAATAGTCTTTATCGTACCTTTTTTATACGTGGTAGTACAAATCTGCAAATACTGTTATAGCCAAACTGCCATGTAGTAAATTAATTATTGTTCAAAACACTCAGATGCGTAATTCTTACTGGTGGAGGATGAACACTGCTATTGGTTTTTATATCGCATATTACTTCTCCATGGAAAAATTGTGTACCTTGATGTTATAGAAAATGTGAAAAAATACTTCAGTAAAAAGGAACAAGTTAAAATTTTTGCAATCAGATTGATCCCTGACATCCAGGAGACATAAGGCAGGAGTCATTCCGAACTAGTGGAAAGAGCGTGGCTCGGCCTTGGAAGTATTTAGTTTTCTCCATTGGCTTATAGGGTGGCTAGACTTCATCTACATGCCAAAAAGTAGATTAATTTGGGCTGTATATTCTGTTGTGCACTCCTTGGATGTTTCTGTATGGTCACATTTATTATCTTAAATGTAGACTGTGGAATTCAGTCACATTATAGAGCACTTTATTGAAATTGTTGAATGAAACTTGTATTATGTAATACAAAGCGAGTGCTATCTATAGTTACTCTAGAAACACAGATATAATTAGGTAAGAGTTATCCCCGCTTTATCAGTTTAATTCAGGAAGAACTCTGCCCAATCATGCAGCTGCTGGATCATGCTTTGAGTTGATTGTAGTTTTGAATAATTGTTAAATTCCAGCAACAATGGAATTGGTGTATTTCACAGCCAGAAGGGTAAGAAAAAACCCAGCGTTCTGGGTTTGGGAGCTTCTGGGTTTCTAAAGCTATGACATATAAAATAGGTAGCAGGGAATGTGTGCAGCCAGAATTCTATGCACAGTGTTTTTTTGAAGGTTTTTTCTTTTTGCTTTTTATCCATGTGGCATACTGATAATACTTCAAGTTTATTTAGGCAATTTGGGAAACTCATTTTGCCACTCTCTGAGTAGTAGCCATAAAAATAAATTCAACTGCTCTTGAACATTTCTAGATGAAGTTTCACTGGGTTTATAAGTATTTTCTATTTGAGTCTCAGGCACTTTTTAATACTTACTTACCATTTTTTCCTTTTTGGAGGATTGGATAGCTTTGGTCAAAGCTGCTGCTGCAGCAGCAGCCAAGAACAAAGCAGGAAGTAAACCTCGAACCAGCGCAAACAGCAATAAGGATAAAGAGGACAGAAAATGGCTAAAAGTTCCTTCAAAAAAGGAAGAAACCTCAACCTCTACAATCATGCAGGAAGTCCAAAAAAAGGAAGAGGAGCCTACATCTAGTGACACATTTGGTAAAAACAAATTCTATAAAAGATTAAATAGGTTTTTCTTTAATGTTGAAGTAGAATTCCTGTTGTTAATTTTGCAGTTAAGTGATAACTAGTATTTTGAGAGGAAGATGTTTCATTTGCTATTATGATAGCTTTATGGTACATAACATTAATCAGTTTAGAAACAATTATCAGATAAATTTAGTTCAGTCAGCATTTACTCCTTGTGCAGAATTTCTAAGTAGTTCTAACAAGAGCAGAACATAGATTTTTTGAATGACTTAATTGTATGCTTTAGTTCATATTCCTGCATCTTCTGTTACATGTGAGATAATCCCTGATCTTGTACTAAGAAAAAAAGAATTCCAGTATGGATGATATATCTATATTAAGGGTTGTTTGAAACTATTTCTAGGTTGATAAGAATTTGTTCATTTTAATAGTCTTTAATACTGATTTCCATAATATTGAGTAAAAATTACAAGTTTTGAGGTAATCTGCATCTAATGCTTCAATGTGTAGTACTAAATCTTCAGAATGTGTCATTTTCATTTTTAATAGAATTGTAAAGTTTCTTTACTGCGAATTGTAACAGGAGTTCTGAAATATTGAAGTATTTTGTGTGTTGTTACGTATTTATGAAATGTGCATTTATTAGATTTCTCTTGTGTTTAAAAGTAGGATTTCCTGTAGTGGATGTTCCAAAGATGGCCTTTGTGCAGGCAGAGAGCACGTTATCACACAAGAGGAAAAGTAGTCTAGGCAACTCATTTCAGGCAAAGAGAGCTCGTCTTAACAAGATCACTGGTAAAATACTTTTTTTTGTTGTTGACTTTTTTCCTTTTTCATGTAGTGAAATATACATGCTTACTCACAAGGTACTAAAGTAGACTGATAAAATCACATTCATGAAGCAGATATTCACTACAGTCTTTTACATGTTTGGAATTTTAAAGAAATCTATAAATGGTAATAAAATCTACCTTGTTCATAAGTTCAGAGAATAGTCTCAGACTTGACTTGGTCTTTTTAGTTTTTTAGGAAGGTAGCCATCCTGAACTGATGAATTTCTTGAGTGTGTTTTAATTCCAGCTGCACAGTTTTCTACATTATCGGGTGAATTTGGGGTTTGTACAACTTCTTAACAGTCATGAGTTACATACTACCACTGTAAATTAAAGCTTTTGTTAGCTATGGAAAAACTAAATGTTTTGTCATAGTTTGTCATGAAGTAAAACTGATGCTGAAAAGAGTTTACAATATGTCATTTAAAAGTATACAAGCCTAGCTACAAATCAAAGCAATGATGATCTGAAATGTTTTTTTCAGTGGCTAAGGCATTCATTCCCCACATTTATTACTCAAGGTTATTAATGGAAAGCAAATATAGAATAGAAAGAATACAGAATAGAAAGCTATAGAATACATTAATAGATAATTGGTCTTATCTTTAAAAGTTGAAAAATGCATTTTATTCCAAAATTCAATAGAAATTTACTTAACTGTGAAAAAATTATTTCAGTTGGTATCTCTCCTCCCCCATGCATCCCAATAAGCAAATTGTATTGCCAGCATTAATCCTGTCGGTATTTAGGATGAGGTAATTTGTACCTGTGCTGGGAAAGTATCACGCATTTCAAAAGCTGGGTGGAAAAAAGTTGTGACGTCCTCCCCTTAGCAGAGGGTACAGGGCCCCCTTGGACAGACGGTAAGATAGAAATGCATTCCACTCATTATTCTAGTAAATAATATTTTGTGTGAAATCTGGCAAAGTTTTCTATGCTACAGATGAGAGGGTTTTTTTTGTGTGTGTGTTTATTTTTTGTAGTAATAGGGTATGGTCATTCATATAAAAAGTCTTTCTTGTTTCTATAAGATAAAAATAACCTGATTTAGTAAACTGTGTGATGAGCATTTTTTCAGACTTGTTTTGGTTGATCCAATCTTTCATAAGTCAGCAGTGGAGGATGTTTAGTCAGTTTTCTTATGAGTATGGTTCTGTTTCAGTCTCTCAGTCAGTACTTCAATCTAAAGGAGAAAATAAATGAAATGGGCCAGTATGGAACATGATATGAAGCAAACAGTCTTTAGAAAAACCCATCTTCTGCCTCCAGGATTTTCTTTCCTGGAAGGCTTCTTATTTGGTACTAAGTTAACAGATGTCTGATTTATCAGCCTTATTTCTACTCTTCTTTGCCCATACTGCATAAACTCTCAGTTAAGTCCCAATATAATTTCTCCCATGAGCAGTAGAAGTATAAGATATATATACTGTTGATATATATTTACAGAGCCCTGTTAATTTCTTTCCAATAGCAGTTAGTAGCAGAAGATACCAAAGAAAGACCAGTAGCTCTAGAAATTATATTTTTCTGTGCTTGTGGATAGATTCTCCTTTTCTAAGGAGCTTTTTGAGAATAATAGCAGTCGGGCGGGCTCATATAGACTGAACTGAATAATCAGAAAACATAATGTTGCAGCCTTTGACTTTGTTATCATTCTAAAACCAGCGTGTCTCTGTCTCCGTGAAAGCATACTTTGCTGGCAGAGAATATGTTACCTTTTAGCGAAAGTGAATTAATCCTTTAATTACAAGATGAAATTTGTCATGCTTGGTAGCTACCTTGTGTAGCTGTTCTCAAATTAATGCACTTTTGCAACTCATACTGTAGTAGGTTTTTATTGTTGCATATAATAGAGTATTTTGAAAATGTAACTGCTGATGATCAAACTTTCTCTTGCTACATGTGTATTTCTTATGCTTGAAATATTTGTAAATTGTTGTTTGTGTCTGCGACATGAGCTTTTAGATTTGAAGGAAGGTTGGGAATTATGCTGGTGTACCCATCAGAATGGCTACAAAAGAATCATAAAGCGTTGTGGCTGCTAGGAAAATATTCATTTACCAAGTGTCTTATGGCCGTATTGAGGAAATAGAGCAAATAATGTGGTTGTAAGAGGCTGTCTGAAGGGAACTGTTTCCTGGATTTCAATTCAGCATTCAGTATTTGTTGCAGAAGGTTCTCCTTGTCTGCCACAAGGACCACAGCTGCATCTGGTGTTCTTTTGCTCACCATTCAACAAAATAAAGTTGCTTCCTTTGCTCCTTTTCCCTCTGCTACCACTACTGGGGGTAATTACATTTCCTGAAGGTGAAGGATGTCTCCTGCTAAGCATGTATTCATGTCTTCTTCCAGTTAGTTTTTGCCTCTGTTGGAATGCTTGCTTCCACATCTCCTGCTGCAGTGTTGATACCTAAAAGAACAGATAACATCTGCAGCAAGCTTACAGAACAAAACAGTTCTGATTCACTGTGCCACCCCATGCTTTTTATTTGTTATGTGCTGTTACTGACAGAGGATGGTAAACCTGTAGTCCTGCTGCTGTAGTAGCTTGTGGAGTTGGTTTTGTCTTTCTACAGACACGGTGATTTGTTGGGAAGATAAGTAATGGGGTAGAGAAAATGGAAGAAAGAAGGGTTATATATTCACAGGTCTGACAGAATCTAGGTTCATTTCACAGCTTTACTTTCTAAGCACCGAGCAGCTAGCTAGAAATAAAAATCATAGAATGGTTGGGGTTGGAAGGGACCTTTAAAAATCATCTAGTTCCAACCCCCCCTGCCATGGACAGGGACATCTTCCACTGGATCAGGCTGCTCAAGGCCCTGTCCAGCCTGACCTTGAACACTGCCAGTGATGGGGCATCCACTTCTCTGGTCCAGCCTGTGGTTTGTAGAACCACAAAAGCTGCCTTATAGGCTGTAGTTTGTTGTTTAGTATTTAAAACTCTACTTCACTTAATTTTGAAAATTATTTTATGCTTTTCATTTTAAATGTATGATTGTCAATATAGAGAACATAGCTAATTTTGCAACTTGATTTAAACAGGATAATTTGAGTTACAAATGTTTATTTAGGTCCATGGAACCTAAATCTTTTATGGAGCCTAATGCAGAATTACAATCTTACCTGATAATTTTATTTGTATTAATATAATAGGGCTAAGTAAGTTTCTGCTTTTCAGTTAACCTATTTAGCTGTAAAATCAATTAGTTTACAGCTCTTGTTATGGACATGGTGTTCTGAAAAAGTTTATTTAAAACATAACTGCTTTCCAGTAAACTGAAGCATAACTTAATCTAACATAAAGAGTAAAGGAAACAGAGCACCTAGTATTTACTGTGGAATGCTGAAATGTGATAGCTCTCTAGCAAAATACCACAGTGGGTTTTTTGTGTGCATGTTTTGGTGTTTGTTAATGTCCTGAACGCTTCCTGAGAGCCCAGGCTTAAATAATTTATAATTCCTTGGGCATTGTGCACTGTAAATTAATTTTGAGCTTATCTAATTTTTCATGGAATGCAACAGGAATTTCCTGTGGATTTGTCAGCTCAAGTTATTTTTGAGGACTTAAACTCTCCGCCTCTAGTATTGACATTCCCAGGGATTATAATAGCAACTTTTATTCAGATTTGTGTATTTCAGGTTTTATCAGTTGTGCTTTGTCTTATGGCATAGAACTTTTTCTTCCTCTGTGTACCTAGGTAATTGAAGTTATTGTGTGAAGTAGAATTGAAGCTATTGCTATATGCTTAGCCGACAAAAAGCTTTCTCCTATTTATGTTTCCTTGTGTTTTACAGATTTTTAGTAGTAGTGGTATTATATATGAGTTCATGAATCAGGTGACATATTCTGATGTATTTGCTCCCAATATGGTCTTGTTATTGAGGTAATTTGGGAGCTTCACTGCTCAGAATATTCATTTGGAAATTAAATCCCTTGTTCTATTATGTCTAAGAAAGTTTTGCATGTGTTAGAGTTAAGAAGTAATACAAATTCTGATGGGAGAGGTAGAAAAGGTTTGTAAATAATTTTGATCTCTCAGAACTTACTTAAATATTGCAGGCTTGGTTTTAAAGCCCAAGTGCTTGGGCTTTATAAGGATGGTGAGGAATTATTTTACAATTGATAATTTGATTTTCATCTTGTTAGTGGAAATGCCAGAGAAGTACCTCTTGTGAAAGGACACCATCATGGGAATGTCCTTTAACTTTTTGTTTCTTCTAATTTAAAGTGTTCAGCTTTGTGTGGAGCTGTTTCAGAGATAATTATGTGGTAGATATAAGCAGTTCATGTTTCTCATCTCACTGTTTTGCCTTGTTTTCCACAAATTCTTGTTGCAAGCTCCTTCTAACTAAAAATCTCTGCAACTTTTCTCCTAAGGTTTATTGGCATCCAAAGCTGTTGTTGCAGATGGTGCTGAAAAAAAGGAAGGCAACAAAGAAACAGCTCCAGTCCTGGAGCAGGTATGAAATGGTAGAGTTTGATTCTTTTGCAAGGTTCCCACTGGAGTGTGCCATGGAGATGTAGTACCTACAACATTAAAATTTGCCCCTTCAGATATAACAGGGAACTGAAAATTGATCTTATGTTTACATTTCTGGCAGAGCCAGAAGTATGGAATTTAATTGTCTCTAAACACAGTGTTGACTTGGATTTCAGTAATCAGCTTTTGTGTTAGAAAACTAACAGAAAACAAAGAAAAATGAAGTCTCCATGCAACAAATGTGAGGAGACCAGTGTCCCAAGGTCCAGTTTTATAGCTGGAACCATGACCATGACTGGCTTAGGAAAAGGCCCTTACACAAATGTAATTTGTGTTTGGAACAGGGTTTTTGACATCACGTAGAACTTCTTTTAAAAGAAGATTCTTTTATATTGTACGAATTTGGTGTTGTAGGCTTGTATGTGTTTTATGAACTGCTCAATGAGCCATACATTTTGCAGGGGTGTGTATTTTAATAAATACAAAAAAGAAACTTTTAAATAATGTTAAGGGTCTGATTTTTAAACCTGCATATTTGCAGGACCTGAAGGCTGCCATTTTATCTTTGGCTTCTTCCATTGTGTTCAGGCATTGCTTGACTCCGAGTTGTGCATTATCTTGCATATTAAAAGGGCTGAATGCCTAAGCATGGTAAAGCAAGCTAAGGATGAATAGTAGTCTTGATTCAGGACACCTTTGTTTTCCAATGATTTAAATCAGAGCCTTAATGTAGTTTTAATACAGCTTTTTTGTATTCATTTTCATTCTTCTTTAACAGCAGCATTTGAATAAAATAGCCTTGCTGCTCGCAATTCTTAAAAGAGCACTTCTGTTCTTAAGCCCCGGCACACTCTATGAACAGTCCCTACCCCAAACTTTATTTGATATTTTGGTTGTACTGGTTCTTTAGAGCTGATATATAATTGCATTGCTGTGGTTTTTCCATTGACACTGCGTTGGATGCAAATCTTGTCAATGGAATATGATTTTCTGTTTTTAATGCTGTCACTGTAACGGCTAACTGAGCCACTACGGTGTCAATGCATTGACCGATATTTTGCATAAAGGTTTACAATGTATTGACATGACATTCCATTTCTCAAATTTTTTGCATATTAAAGATGCTATGATTTTATTGCTACTGTGTGTGATATTTTCAATGTGCAAAAAACTGTGAAATGGCTTACAGCATGTTGTTTTTGGAAGAATCATTACAATGTAAATCTTATCATGCAGAATCCCATTAGAGTGAATGGGACTTTGTGGTTTACATAGACTGTGTATGCAACAGTATAAACTACAGTGCATATTTACTAAAACCTTTTTGTTACTTCTTAAACTTAGTAACTCGGCTGTTTCTGTTTTATTGATTAAACATAAAAAAAAGATGTCTCTGTCATTGTTTACATGCTAATGGTCTGAAAAAAACTCATTTTTGGAAATAGTAGTTAAGCTCCTTTAAAGAGGCATCTAAAATCCCAAATTGTCCTATTCCTTTGCTTCTAATTAAAACCAGAAACCTTGCAAATATTTAAATGATTAACTGTGGGGAGGAAAATTTTTGAGCTTAAAGCTTTTTTCGCTAAGTTCCTGCCCAAACTCAAATTAAAATGGCCGAGTTATAAACCTCCCCAAAAGGTTTTCCAATAGCAAAGCTGACATTCCTTAGAGGTTTTGTCTGCTACTGCTATAAAATTGAATGGGTAAAATATCTTGTAGGTTTTTTTAATAATGTAATACAGAACATGGTAGAAGTATTCAGGCCAATAGCCGAAAACTGACTTTGTTGATGGAAGTTTATTTTATTTATATTTATATATTTTTAGTTTACAGTTGTCTTAAACCCAAAACCTCAGACGATTAGTTGCAGATACAGTAGTTTATTTAACTGTATTAGGGTATGTCATGTTATATTTCCTTTTGACCAAGACCTGGTTAGATGAATAACTTTAATTCATTAAGGTTTTTAATGTTAATTTGTCCTGTTAAGAGGTTAAGCACCTTATCAAAATATTAATTTAATTTTTTTAATCTTGTTTAAATAACTTTGTAATTTGAAAGTAATGGATGCTGTAGTAATGTCTTTCACATCTGTGAAGATGAACAATAAAATTGTTTATTTACAAGTTACGACTCTAATTAATTTCTGGTAATACCTCTCATAACCAGCATAGGTATACTCCACAGTTCATGGAATATTTTATTTAAATGAATAAACTGCACTTAGTACATGTGTAATTGAGTTATTCAAGGTAGAACTGATGTCTGCTGAATGGGATGTTTTGCACCGGATCTTTACAGGATACTTCCAGCAAGCTATTCATGTAGCATTCAGGGGTGCCCTTTTGCAAACATAGAACGTGCACTTGTGGGTTTTTGTTTTACTTTTTTTTTTCCCCCTCCATTGGAACATGGAAAGTTCTAGTGGAAAATAAAATTGCCATTTATAACAAAACCCAATAATACCCTCAAATCATCAGAAATGTGACTTTTTAGTTTGGATAAAGTGGTGCACACATTCTAGAAATAACTTTCTACTTTGTTAGTTATGGTTTTAATAGATGGTACTATGCTGTGTGATGTAACTGGGACAAGAAAGGGGACAGGTTTAAGGAATTATGTTCAGATATTGTAGTTTGCCATTACTGGGCAAGTTGTAACACATGCACAGTTTATTCAGTAAAGTAGGAAGAACTTCCAGTTAAAAATCTAAAATGCTAATGTCTGTCAATGCATGCTAATTGTCTACAAATAATACTTAAGTATGTGTATTAAGAAGGATGAAAATTGATGAAATTGGAAAACTGCATTATATGTAGAATTTTTTCTTTTTTTTCTTCAAAAACTGTTTTAACTCTTTATCTGCTCATTTTTCCCCAACAGTTAGCAATCTATTTAACCCTGTGTGCTAGAAGTTGTGATTTCTTCATGTGTTTGCACAAACATATAATGTGGTGAAATCCAGACTCCCAGCACTGAAAGGGGTTGTTGTGAGAGTGTGTTCAGTATTTGGAAACTTTTTGTTGTTTTCAGACATTCCTTAAAGGAGCATTATCAACTTTTTCAGGTTCTTTTCTAAAAATGAAATTCATGTTAAACAAGGTTTTCCTGAGGATCTTTTTCAATTTTTTTTGCTATGGTCAGGGAGAGGACCGTGAAGGGAAATCTTGGCAACTTTTTTTAGAACTGCAGTCCTCTGAACAAGGATCGCTTGCTCATAGCAGTGCAAAAGCCTGTCAGAGTTCAGGGATTGTCTGGATGATAGTCATATAGTTTAGTGTTAGGTAGTCTTGCGAGGAGCAGGGAGTTGGACTTGATGATCCTTACGGGTCACTTCCAAATTGAGATGTTCTATGATTATACATCAGTGTATGTATTCTAGCTTGTAACAAGTGTTCTCCAAGTTGTACTTTGAGGAAGCACTGACGATCCTGGTCTACTGAAAATGAAAGAGACAGAAACTAAAAAGACTTTGGTGAATTTTTAAAATGGGAATAGAGGAAAAATGTTTTGTTTTCAGGCTTTTTGCATATGTTTCAAATAGTAAGAAATGAGGGTGTTCTGAACACTGAAACTAATTGATGTTGCTCCTTTAAAAAAGTTGTTTGATGAATTTTAAATAGTTTTCATTTGCACTGAAAATAATGTTGCTTTAAAATGTGTTTTGAATACTAAAGTTGCTTTTAAAAAAATCAAAATAGAATACAAGAACTACAGCGAAGAAACTGAAATAAAAGTATCAATTTTTTATTATTTATTCAGGAGATTTCACCTAAACCACAAAGTCAGAAAAAAAATGAAGCTGATATTAGCAGTTCTGCCAACATTCAGAAACCTGCACTGTTATCCTCAACTTTGTCTTCAGGAAAGGCTCGCAGCAAGAAATGCAAACAAGAATCTGGAGATTCTTCTGGGTGTATAAAGCCCCCTAAATCACCACTTTCCCCAGAATTAATACAAGTCGAGGATTTGACGCTGGTCTCTCAGCTTCCTTCTTCTGTGATAAATAAAACTAGTGAGCACAGACATTTTAAAAAAAATACCGTACTTACTTATAAGAGATATACAGAAATTTTTTTTGGTTGTAAATCGCTATTGCTTTTAAAAATGAATCTGCTTTAAATAAAAGGTCCAAGCGGGAGATTTAGGGGTAGCTCAGTATTTTAAAAGTCAAGTCAGATAATAAGGCATATGAATTACTCTACCGGAAATAATACATTTAAATAATACATTTATATTTACGGAGTCATGGCTTTTAACGGTTGGCTTTCCCTCCAGCTTAAATCTTCACATTAGTATTAACAGTGATACAGGAAAAATCAAACCTCTCATCTGAAGGGGCCTGATTCATTAAAAAGAAAAGACGTACACCTTGGTTGTGGACCTTTCCTTCTCTGAGAAATTCCACCTTCAGCAGGCTGATATGCTGTACCTGTTGGCTGTGGCATTCTTCACCTTATGTGATACTTCCTCCAAATACGATGTGAAAGAGAAGATGGGTTCAAGATCTGTGGTGGGGAAATACAAAAAAATCAGGTTTCTTTGTCTTGGAAAAATACAAGCTTCTCAAACATGTGTAACTGATTTGCAAAGTACCAAAATATTGGTTGTCAGAAGAACAGGGAAGGTTCATGCTGCATCCTTGAATATGCTATTTTTTGTGAATGTTAAAACTTCTATAATTTTTTTTGAGATTACATTAGGTTTTTAGTGTTGCTTAGGGTCAGGCTCTTTGTTGCCTGAAGAACATTAAATGATGAGGCCAAAAGTTAAAATAAATGTGGGTTCCAGTGAGTCAAAAGCTACATTTTTGTTTCCCTTTTAGAATAGTGATTGAGGATGGAAGACTAAACCTGCATCGCTTCCCCTTAACCTTGATTTGATATTTTCCCTTAGGAGATAAGTTTCTTTTAATCTTTTCTCACAGATAACTTTAAATGAATGGGAAAGGGAGGGGTACAAATTCAGCCGTCTATTTATTCAGGACACATAGGTATAAATTGTATTTTGTCCCCACAAAATATTACTGGTCATCTATATTGTAATATGCCTTCCCTCCCCACCCCTAAAATAATGGTAAGTAGTTTTCCTTGAGCATGTTTGTATTTTGGAGTAAGTTAGACTTCTCTGTAGCAATATTTTAAATATTAGCTAATTTAAAAATTGGTTACTTAATACATTAGATCTTGTTAGTGCTGTCTTTCAACTTTGACTTTCAAGTCTTTACCACCTCTAATGGAAATTTAATTTTGCTGTGTCTGTTTTTAAATCTGTACATCTTTGACTCTAAAAACTGCTTAAGGAAAGGAGAGAACAGTGTTTTATAGTGTAATAATGACTTAAATGTTTTCCAAGGCAGAATTTGTGAAACTGGGTAAAATTGGAGAGATACAGAGGAGTGTGAGTTTTTTGTTTTTAATGAATCAGGCCTATATTAACCTATATCAATTCTCCCCCCCCCTTTTTTTTTACAAAAAAAAAACCAACTATAAGGTTCTTGAGCCTTCTTACTGTGCCACGTGTTGGCAGTGTGCATTTGAAATATAGCTGGAGTATTGATAACAGGTTAGCAGAAGATGGGAGGTGGGATATAAAATTAACCACTGCTTTTGATTTTTTTTTTTAAGTTGTATGTTACCACTATCCATACTTTTTAGATCTTTAACTGTGATCATTTGTTCTGTTTACTGTTAAATTCTATTGCCCCCTTCCATTATAAGTAGCCTACTCTCATGGGTTATATGGGGGGGTTGCTTATTTTAAGTACACTGTTTGCCTAAAACAACAGCCTTTATCAGTGGGGAAGTAGATGCCCTCGTAATGTGTAATAAGCTAAAAGCAGAATCATATCTTGAGCATAACTCCTTTTGCTCCTGGTAGTCACAGTTTATAATTACTTTTACCGGTTCTGCTGTGATTACCAGCTTTGCAAATAAGAGTTATTTAAAGCACTCCCCATCTTTAGATCTCAAATACTGCAGTAAGATTATGGTATATCTCTCTGCTTCATGAACATTGAAAGATCTCTTTTTAGGTCCATCACAGCCAGTGAATTCCCCTAGATCCTACAAACATAGCCAACGGAGAAGAAGATCACAGCGTTTAGCCACTTGCTCCTTGCCTGATGATTCTGTAGAAAAAGTTTCTTCTCCCTCTTCAGTTACTGATGGAAAAGTGTTCTCCATCAGTGGTCAAAACCAACAGTCATCAAAATTGGAGGGTAATGTATCTTAATCTAATAAAGAACTGCCCAAGAGAAATTGAATCCTAAAAATTAGACCTTTCACGGTTTTCATCTAATGGGATATTTTGACTTACTGTAGCTAAAGCTGTATGCTGTTCCTATGTTATGTAACGCTGCAATCCAAACTGTTGTTTGTTGGACCTATGTATCTTTTTTAATATTACATTTTTTCTTTTATGTAGTACCTGATGTTGCTCATATGTCACTTGAGAAGCGTGGACCATGTCTCCCTCTTGATTTAAGCCGTAGTTCGGAAGTTACAGCACCATTATCCACAGAATCCACTTTCCGTAATGAATATCCCAGTAAAGACAAGGAAGATATTCAGATGATTACTTATCTTTCTTCCAAAGCAGTAACTGATGGAAGAGTAGCTACAACAGCGTCAGGTAAAGAGATTCAGTATACAACCAGTTAGGTTTATAGTTACAGGGTTGAAACGTGTATGTCACACAAAGAGAGGATACTTTTTTTTTCCCCTTTCTGCACACTTACAAACCTGCCACTCATTCTGGGGTCCATCCATGTGCATATTCTTCATCTTCCACTGGCTTTGAGCTGAATTAGCACTTTTTCTAACACACTTTAAGGGGGATCTGAGAGTGTGGAGTATAAAAAGCGGTATTTCTTTCAAAAATATTTTATATTGTTAAAACTTGTAAAAATAATTTATGAAGTTGTTTACTAACATACTAATATACACTAAACCTGGATGTACTCATTGATCTTCTAGCTTCAGCTTTAAAACTTAGTAGCATTTTGTGAGGCAGTCAGCATTCCTCTACCTTTGCTCCTGTTTGCAGTGGAAATTTTGTCGCTTGCTACAAAATGTTACTTGAAAATATTTCTGAAAAATCCTCTGAAACTTACATAGACTTGGTTCACCCTCACAGAGTTAGCATAGAGCCCAATACTGGAACTTTGTGCTGCCTTTCACTTTGTAACAGTTTACTGGCTACTGTGGTTTAAGTGAATCACTTGGATACAGGCAATTAGAGATGTGGGGGACAGTTTAAATAGTGATTTGCAGAACCTAAAAGTGGGTTTTCATCCATTTTCTGTTAGGTGTCCATATACTTTTTTTAACTGGCTTCCAAGAAAGAGTTTTCTCAAAAGCCTTTTTTTTTTATTTAAATGAGAAAATTGTTCAATAAAGTAAGTGGAGGAAAAAATCAAGTTATTCTACTCTTCTGGGGAAGTTTTTTGGTAAATGTGATCAATAGTAAAGGAGGACAACACGACCTTAAAGTATATAATTATGGCACTCAAATTATAACTTAGTGTTGTTTGCTGGGGGGGGGGGAAGCAACAGCTTTGCATTAAGCTGATAGTATAGCTGCAGTGCTCAATAGGTCAGTGAAGCATTTTATTTAGTACGTACAGCCCCTTCTTGGGTGTCTGCCCACACATACTCCCACTGAAAGTGTAAGGTGATCACTTCATCGAGTTGTAGCATAGCTATTTAACCTGATGTAGCAAAAGCAGGGTCGGATTCTTGGATCAATATTGCGTAGATTAAAATAGGTGATTGTTAATTATCCGTTCTCTCTCTCCCTGGAAAAAAAATAATCTATTAATCTCTTAAACTAATTTGTCAAAATAAGGGCTATGGGAATTTCTAATGAGCTGCCACATAAGCTTTTAAAAATATTATTTAATTTCTCACGTGAAAACATGTGACAGTCTTTGTTTGCCTTTGATACATTGCATAGCAGTAGAATTGCAGATTCCTGGGAAAATTACTTCTGTAAATGTCCTTTTATCTCATGTCTTCTGCCACTAAGAGAAGTGCTTTTGGGAGTTGTATATTTGCCCATTCATAGAACAAGATTATAAAAGAAACCAACAGCTTCCAGCTACCATCTGTTTCTTGTTTATTAGAACTCACTTCAGTTGCTAGCAATTTAACTTTTGGCTTGTCTGATATATTTTCTGGATCATTTAATGTGTAGTTGGTAATGCTAACGGGTATCTATTTTGTTGCCCGCTTCCGTCATGGGACTGGCTTGGAGTCTGAGCAAGCTGGTTCTAAACCCAGTGTCCATGAGTACACTTCTACCTGTTTGTTGAGCTGGGTCTTGGTCACAGCTGAGTCCAATTAAAGAAATAATATGTTTCATTTATAGCCACTTTTATTTATGAGTCAAAAATATTTGACATGTCCACACACTTTGTGTGAGGGGAAACCATTCCCCAACAAAATTCTCTCTTATTACTACTTGAGTCCAGAATGGGAGGATGGAAGCACTTGCAACCTATGCTAGAGGATACAGTTCATACTGTATTTAAAGCTTAATGGAGCTTTTTTGGACCTACATGATTTTAAGAGTTATAAGCTCTTAAGGAACTGATTTGCCAGCTCCCTTTTTGTCTTCTGGTTTTTTTGCCTTCTGGAAAGACCTGTGTATTGTTCCTAATTTTCACGTATTACAGTTTTCTTCCATGCAATAGAACTCTGTCTTGAGCTTTCATACTGACTTTTTGCCCAAATGTTAGAAGTTTTCAGAAGTATTCAGCCCAGCCTCCACTTGAGCAGTATAAGCTTTGTGATCTGAAAGACTAATCTAAGCAGTTTGATATCTTTAATTCAGAGATTTCATAGAAACTTTTGGAGGTAGCTGCCTCTGTCAGTAGTATCTCTAGGACTCTATAACTGAAGTTCATATGTCTTTTGGGTTCATCTTGGGTTTCTAACTCTGGTGAAACTTGTTTGTGTCCTATCCTCATATTCTTCTTAGTAAAAAAAGAAAAACATAGCATTTATTTCAGGTTTGAAAACTCTAGAGTTACTCTACACTGTTGAATAGTTTTTGGTGTGTTCTCTGCTTTAGAAGGCATCTTTTTACTTTTGAAACAGCACAGGTTCTCAAGTCATGTTACTTAAGCACACATAATTCTACCAAATTCTCGCATGCCTCAGGAGAATTAATAGAATCCACTCTATTTATCACTTTTCCTTTTCTAATGAACCTGTTTAAACAATAGCCAGATAATATATAAAGGAGAGGTGTCCAAAGCTTTCCTTTCTCATTCTTGTTGATGCTTGAAATTGTTGAGAAAAGTTAATTTGCATTATGCAGGAACATCTGCCTGCCTAAGTGTGATTTAATATATTGCATTGTTTAGTGTATGCATTGTGACTCTATAGGTTGCAATTTGAGAACTCTGGTGTAAAATCCAGACTATCCTGTAATTGTTTTTTTTAATCTGAAAGAGCTATTTTAAATCTATGTCCTTTTATGATATTTCTGCTTTTTAGATTTGATTGACACAGTCTGGACAGATCTGGTATTCTAGATTTTGACAGCACTATGGAATTTGCTAAGTGCGCTTAAGTTGGACCTGCTGTCTTCGTAATCATTGAAACAGATAACTGTAGATAGTTTCAGAAATTATCCATAATTTTATGTTGTTGAAAATGATGCATTTCAATGACTTCTTCACTAAAAAGATAGTAAGTTGGTGTTTTTCGGGGAGGAGGGATAAAGTGCACTGAAGTGCAGAAGCATAAATGGTAACCCATAGTATTAACATATAGATTCCTTCTCCAGATCATTGCTCAAAATGAACAGCATGAAAGGCAGCACAACAGCATAAAGGCAGCACAAAAGCACTATGATCAATTCCTTCAGTCCACAGGCTATGTGGAAGTACTGTGCACTTTGGTAGACACTAGTACACTACCAGTTAATTATTGAACAGAGGTACTGCTTTGCCTAAACTGGTGCAAGGACCTACATGTGATCACTTGATATTGCATACATAACTAAGAATCCTTGCTTTCATTTGTCAAACTGCTTAAAATGGAGATAAGCGGCCTTTTTGTCACTTAGACTTTAAATTCACAGTCAGTCTAAATGCATGCAGAACACTGTAGTTTTCTAGTTCTGACTACACGAAGTTCAGATCTTTCTGTAGCTATAATTTTCTTAAATTTGTGATGGTTTTTCTTCGTTTTTGTAACTCTACACCATTTATGTTAGTTTAACTGTTATGTATTGTGTAAACAATTTCAGCAAGCAATCTGGGTTTTAAAATTTAAGAAAGAAGAAAATATTGTTACATTTGCTAATATAGCAATATTAACATAATTATAGTAGTAATATAACAATATTATCATTAGCTGTTATTTCCTGTTGTAGCTCAGTCTAGATTATTTTGCTAGTAGGGTAACATCAGGTTAACTATATGGGAGTAATTTTCACGTAGGCGAAAAGAAAAAGCATTGTATACTTTTACATAATTTTATTGATAACACTTTACTGCAGCAGGAACAAGAAATGGCTGATGTACAAAATTTTCAGAAAATGAGATCAGTCGCTTTTTAATAAACTCTTGCCAGTGTTACTGGCTGCCCTGCTTTTAAGAGGTATGTAGACTCTAGTGAGCTAAAGCTCTTGTTACTTTGGAGCTTTTTGTTTTACTCCAAACATCTAGTGACAGTCAGGTTTACTCCCTAATTTGAATGTCTGCCATTCTAATCTCTGCCCTGAAGTTCTCAGCTGATTCTTGGGGTAGATACCTGAAGGCAAGCAAGAAATTTTCATGTCCTCATCCTTCCTAAAGAGATAATTTTGTGCGGGATCTGGTATTAATCTGTAATATGTATTTAAAATGCATTTAGATATAAAATTCATCCTATGCACTGGGAATTCAAAACACAGTTAATTATGATAGAACCATGAATTATGCTGGTCATGTTATGATTTAAGTTGAATGCAGATGATGATGATATGTCTGTTATTAGGAAAGTTGAAACATCAAAAGCCATGGAATAGAGTATCATGCAACAAAATAAGTCACTTCACATTAGTACAATTTATTTTAATTTGCTGAACTGAAATAAGCAGTACTACTTAAAAGCCTGTCTGTGCTGCTGCGCTTGTAGCACAGCATCCTGTTCTGTGCCTGTACTTGCACGAGGAGGGGCTTGTGTCACTTCACCGTGCCAGACGAGGAGAGGTAGCATTGGAAACATGTCATAAACCGGACTGGAAAGTGCTGTAGTTTGCATTTGGTTTTCATCTGAAATCAGTCTTCTGATGATAAAATTGATTTTAGAACAATGACATAATCAGTAGTTTATCAAGTCTAATCTCTAAGCATCTTTCTGCTGAGTGTTAACTGCAGACCTCCCACACTTCACTGTGTGGGAGGTGGCTGACTAGACTCCTTAACAGGAATAAAATTGCAATTAAAAGTAACAGTTAAAAAAAAAGTTAATATTTCTATAAAGGAGATTTTGTATAAACTAATATTTATCTTGCTGTATTTGGTACTTGCCCTTCAGACTGTGATTGCCTACTTTGTCTAATTTTGTGGTTACTTGTGCAGCGTAGTGATTGCACATTTGAAAATTAGACTTTGCAAGCCTTAACACTTTATTTAGGATTTGAGAATTTAAGATTCTCAGTCGAGAACGATTTCTGATTAATAAAAGTAAAAGCCAAGAATAACATTGCAGTGTGTGCAGGCATAATAGTAATTTCTCCTTTCAGGTTACCATAGAAAGGCTGTCTGGAGAGCTCTGTCATTGAGATGGATATTTGTGTGACTGTAGCAGATTTCTGCCCATCATAAATGTTCCCTCAAAGAATTATTTAGTTACTAGCTGATTACTTTGTCAGATGTGCTTGTGTTGAAAATTGTTGAGATACTGAAGTTTGTTGTGTTGTGGCTATCAATATCCGAGCATGTTTGAATGTCTGAGGTCAGGATTTCTTCTGAGTAATGAAGTTTAAATACTAATTAATCTGATATTGAGACTAAATTTCTCTTGAGATTGTTTGGATGGAGTATTCTCACATCTTTTCATCAAAACGGCAGTGACCTAACCAAATTATGTGCGTTTGGGTGATCCTTTTGTGCTCTTTTTAGAAACGAGACAAGACGTTGATAGCATGATGATGTGGAGAAGTGTCACTTTTTTCTTTTACTGAGGTGCTAAAATATACTCATTGCTCCACAGATGGCAAAGCAGTTCAGTCCTGTAACAGAGACAAATGCTAATTAGGAAACCCAAGAAAAGAATAATTTGGGTAATGTTTTGTGTCGAGAAGTATCCCAGCAAACTAAGTCCGCTTGAAATACAGACAAAGGCAAGAGCTTGAATAGTAGACCACTCTTGAAAGGATTATGGTCTTAGGTGAGATTGTTGATCTGACGTAGTGGAAAGGCGCAGGTAGCCTCAGCCATGGTCATGCAGCTCGTGTCTTGTGTTAGAAGCCAGCACGCAGAACCGAGCAGCTGCTTCTGGCTGCTGGCTAGACTGCATGGTATGGCGATGTCTTGCATCTTGCAGCTGGGAACGTCTGGCATTAAAAGTGCTGTGTGGTGTGGTAGGTGATGCACCACTTTCTGTTGCTCTCAGTGCCCCTGCGGCTTTCTTACTTTATGGCATTTTCATTGTTTTCCTGAGAAGTCTGCCTAGGAGCTGGAGTAAGTTCATGTAACGTGTATGTTGTAGTGTAGTAGAATTGGGTTGGTCTGTCCAAGCCTGGAAGGCCGCCTTACAGAGTCAACCCCGAGATGTTCTTGCCTTTTCCCCAGAATCCTTTTATGGCTGATGAATTTACTAAACTATCTTAACACTGCTTATTTAAATGTTTTTTGTTATTAGTGAATTTTTTTTTTTATAAAAAGGGTGGGGGGGGGGAGCTCAAAGATCACTCCAGATCAGCTTCGTATTTTGTCTTGTTTAATATCTTGACCGCTAGCATGCTAGCAGGTATTTTTTCAGGACTTTTTTTTTTTCGGTTCAGCACTTTAACCCACGAGTGTTTTTTATGTGCTGATACTTTAGCTGGGCTCATAAGTTGAGAGACACCAAAGGTGTCTGGTGCCTCCAAGTATTTACAGCTGGCATTGAAAAACCTGAACCCTTTGTGACTTTGCAGAGATGCATTTTTGTACAGTATGTCCTCAGCACAGTCCTGAAATGTCCTCAATGGCCTCATGAAGATTAGGCTTTCCTAATTACATATAAATGAAACTTTAAGCTCTCACAATATTGAACACAGTAATAGAGAATTTTAAATAACTTTTATTTTAGTTTGATTATTTGAAAAATTATAATTTGAGTTTTATTTTACCATGTTATTTCCTAATTTGCATCAGAATAAGATTAAAAATCAACTAAATATTTCACTGAATAAACTTTTCTGAATAGTGTAAGGTAAGAACTGTCAGTATATGATGCTGAATTCTGACAAATTATCACAGTATTTTGCATGTAATTCAAATGTGGATTAAACACACACATGAAAGACAGTGAACGATTTAAACATTATTGGAATCAATGAAAAATGCAATAAGCAGAAGTGTGAATTTTATACATAGCACTAAAAATGTTGTACCAGAGCTCAGTTTCTCTGTTCGGACAATGGAGTGTTAACTTAAATGATATTGACAATGTCAGCACCTTTAACCCTTATTGTTGACGCGGGTTTCTATTACAGTAAAATAAAAAGGAAACAAAAAGGCTTAAAAGCAGCAAAAGTACACTTAAACAATACAAGTAGTTTAAAAAGCGAGTGCAAATTCCAAAACAAAGAAACCTTCTGTGGCATGTATTGTCTTGTATGTAAGACTAAGACCTAGGCATTCATATGCAGTAATTATATGTTAAGTGTGATGATATTATTACTAGTACTTGACATTTCAGTGATCTGACCCAGCCAGTGATCTGGCTGCAATCCTTACAGAATGCCTAGTAAATCTGTCTTCTTGTTTTCAGCACCCTCGTCCCATGTACATGCCTTGCATCTGGAAATGCCTTTAACCAATAGTCTAAAGTTACCCAAAGGGAATAGTAAAAAAAAGAGGTCTTCCACATCAGTGAGCTCTGAAGGGACAGAGATACAGTGCTCTGTGCCCATAAAGGAGAAATGTTTTGAGAGTCTGAAGGAGAAAATATTAAAGAACGTGATTGAGAAGGACAAGCATTCAGAAGTTGGTAAACTACAATACTTTTTGTTTCCAGTGCTTTAGACAATAAAAATAATTGTAAAGTGGCATTAAAAATAATTTTATTGTTTGTATGTTTCTTCTTATTATGTACCATTAGGACTTTTTACGGTCTAATGATTTTACAAGAAAGTGGGTCATCAGCCAGACATTGCACTTATGTCACATATTCTTCTTCAATTTGCAGGTGCAGTGAGAGTGGAAAGAAAAGGAAAACTGGAAGAGAAAAGTTCTTCAACATATGGTATGTACAGAGCAATAATATTTTTAGGAAAAAAGGAAAAATTCTCTAGCACTTGATGTCTTTGAAGAGCGAATGTAAAAGTGTAAAATATTTCCTGGGCCCAGCTGCGCTTGTTTTGTTTGTTTAGGTCTTAAAAACAGTTTCTATATATATGACAAGTTTATAGTAGAAGGATAATTTTATAAGAGGAAATGAAAGTGCCCATAGCAAGGATTTAGAAGGATCCAAAAGTACCTATGAGAGGCCTGGAAGAAAAAAAAGTTTGTGTGTGTTTGGGTTTTTTTTAGTTGAATTAGGGATACTGCCTTTATTTACTTGTACTGACCGCTTTGGCAAGGGGAGGAGAAAACAGTTACGTGTTACTAGCAAAACATTTGGCAATTCTTGAAAGCAAATATAAATTAAGAGGGCTTTGGTTTTATCCTGTCTTTAAAAAAAAAAAAAAAAAATTTTAGAGATGAACAAGAATTTAGAAGTGATTATACCTTGTTTTTCCAAGAGGTAAGATTTCTGTTTCTGTATTCCCCAAGAAGATAATAACACTCTAATTTGTGTGCAGGAAACAATCCTTAAATACTGACTTTAAGGACTTAGTTTCTGTAACAAGTGAATTTACTCATTATTTATCTCACTGCTGATTACTTAGAAAATGATTATGGAGTGAAAATATTGTGGGATGTATTTTGTCTTGGGAGAATTAACAGGATAAACAGAATTTTCTGAGACAAAGTACTTGTCCTCATGCGTATACCAACAGTGATTAGAAGTGAGCTGCAGTGTAAAAAAATATATCCTAAATTTTAGCCAGAATCCGTTTTCCGTGAGGATGTCGCTGTGTAGTAGAAAGTGCTGACAGCATCAGCAGTTTTGTGATACTGAAATTTCCTTCGGATCACTTTCTGTAGGTCTAATATGTGTTTTTAAGACAATGTTATCTTTTTAGTTTGGAATTCTGCACTTTTGAAAGCTTTTTGTCTTGCCCAAACCTTTTTGTTATAAGCTGTAAGTAAAATGGATATTATAAGCTATTTAAATAATGTCACTTATTTTGTGTGCTTTCCTATATCTTCTGCTATGATATCTCATTTGGAAATACTTACAATGGTAAAATGTTGTTTGTTGAGATTCCTTTGAACCATTCTGCCAGCAATTAATAAGAGACAGGCCCAAGATATCAAGTAAATTAACCGAATCATTTTGATCGGACTAGGCAACTGGAATACTTGATTTTGAATGTCATGTTTAGGTTAAGCCAAATGAAGCAAGTAATTTGGAATGGTACTGCTGTTTTAAAATTACTAACTTCTACTTCAGGTAAAAAGAAAGAAAAGGAAAAGGAGAAAAAAGAGAAAAAGGAGAAAGATCATAAATCAAAACAGAAAAAGAAGAAGAAAAAAAAGAAGAAATCTAAACAGCATGGTAAGTTCAATATTTTTTTTTTTTAAATTAAGCAAAATCATTCAGTGTATTTATGGCATTAGATATTAAAACTTGTTTTAAACAATATAAATGTCAAATTTTAGAAATTTCAGAGAATAAGTTTTGGCTTTAAATGTTGAAAAGACACTTATGTCTATGACCTCATTTTTGTGTTTATAGCCTGTCTCTGTGCGATGGACATAGATATTTCATAGATTTATTTTTTTTCTTCCTTCAAAAGATATGCTTGCCCTTCTAAGCTCTTCAAGTCCTTCATTTGAAGCTCTGTATACACATCCTACCTATTTTGCTTGGATGTTAAAATTATTCTAGTATCTAGTCTGTTGCTGAATTTCAGCGATTTACTGTTTAAAATGCAGCCCCTCCTTAACAGTTAATTCTTAGCAGCTGAGGTTGGCACCTCAGCAACAACCTTGTCTGTTGTCTTGACAAATGGTGATTCCGTTTGTCTTCATCTCACTTCCCTGTTTCCAATTCTTTGATCATATCACTCCTCTTTTTCTTTTCTCTGTAATTTTATTCCCTAGAGGGACAAAAATAATTTGTTTTTTAGCTATGAGGCTCTAGGTAGCTTGAGCTTTTTTAATAAAACAAACCCTTTCAAACCACTTTCTGCTTTTTTTTTTTCTCCTTGTTTTAGAAGTACTCCTGTAAGACTGTGGTTTAAAGTTTTAGCACCATCCTTTCTGTAACTCTTCTTGGTATGATTTCTGTGGAAAAAAATGGACAATGTTTGGGGTTTCTTTTTTTAATAAAAAGATAACTACCCTACTGACCAGTACAGTTTTATTGTTTCTTTGTATTTCTTCCCTTTTTCCACAGCCTTTGGTTCTTTTAATCTCCCATAAAATCATGTTACAGATTCCTTGGTTTACCTTTTTTTGCATCCAGTGCAGTCTTTGTTGCAGCATTATGGCAATAAAAACAACATCATGGGCAAATACAGACTCATTCTGTCTTTCCTTCTTGCCGAAGACTGAACTTTTTTTCGTGTACTATGCCTGCTTACTTCAAAAAGCATTTCAGGGCTTAAAATAATACTACTTATTTTATCTTGCTGCTGGTTTGTGGTGTCTGTTTGTTTGGGGTTTTTTTTTGAGAACATCTTTAAATATTCAAAAATTTAGAAATGAGAACATAGACTGTCCTTTCTGTGCCTATCAGAGTGACTTTACTTTCATGTACATTGACAGTGTACTTTACTAGATATCAGTTGTAATAACTTTGATTTAAAATTTCTTAAAATATGAGAATGTGAAAATTCAAAACCTATCAAACAAAGAATTTTCTAGAAACTTTTCCTCAAGACCATGTGGAAAAACTCTATGCATTAAAAGAGCTTCTGACGACAGACTTTTAAAGATGCCTTGTGGATCTCTAGAGTAGTTACGCCTTTGTCCAAAATTTGTGCTATAACATGAAAATGCTCCCAAATCATGCAGTGCTTGGATGTGAACTGCAATAATCTAGGTTTCACGTACTTCACCATCTTTATACTGGAGTAATATAATTTTAAACTGTAAACTTAAATTGCTTATTTTACCTAAAAATTATTAGGAGTTTTTTACTTGCACTGGGAAGGCATCTAAGTCTTTGCAGGAAGATATTGGTAAATGCTAGGTATGCAAGAACCAAAGAAAAGAACAAAAACCCCAAGACCCTCTGCAGTCTTGGCTACTTCATCTGTGATTATTAAGACATGGCAGAGGGAGTTAATATGCTCTACTAGTTCTGTTTTTAGGAATATGTTCAAAAGTAATATGCCATCACCTTGTGTACAGCAATATCCCCAGTAGCGCTCTCAATGTAGTTTGATAAGAGTGAGAAAAATGTTTTATAGCTCTTCTATCCTTTGAGTATATGACATTGAGTGTTGGTGTAAAAGAATTTGAAAAAGAACTTGGATAAAAATAAGCAAAATAATGATTGAAGAATTTGAAAAAAGATCTTTTGAGCAGAACTGTTTTAATAGGTAACAAGTTAAGCTACAGATTTGAAATAAGGTTAGAACTACATATGTATATTTTGTAATGGGGAAACATTGATATAGTATTTCCCTGAGCCTTCTGTTTCTTATATTTCCAAAGAAAGAGGTAAATAGAGAAGTTTTCTATCATCTTTGGTGTTGAATCCTGGAATTTAGATGAATCATCAGAAAAGGCTGATGGTAGCGCACAATTTAGAAGGTTTTGGAGGAGTTGGTCAAACTGGTGGTTCTCATCTGAGCATGTGACGCTTGGCTGTTTCGCGAAGCGCTGTGCTTGAGATCAGAGAGTCTAAGGCTTCGGACTGTCTGGGGTGCACATGGTTCTCTGGTTCCATGCAGCTCTGACATGCAGTGGGTTCTGCAAACCCTTTTCTTCCAAATTGATACAAATAGAGTACCTCTTGCAAATTAACACAGAGCTGTGTTCTGCTCACTATTGTTCTTTGGTTTTATCTTGTTGAGGTCGTGAGGCAGTTTGTTGTGGGTGAGGTGGTATTTAATTCTTTTTATTCCGTTGGTCTTTTTGCCAACTTGTCTTGAAACTTAGAAACTTGGCAGAGGTACCATGATTAGGTTCCAACTTCTAGGGGCCATGTCCAATGCTTCTAAATATTAGGAGAAAACCATATACCTCCCAGTGCCCCCCAAAATAGGAATCTTAAATCCAGATGCAGAAAGCAGTGTGAGTAAAACTTGAGCATTTTATTCTTTGCAAATTCTTCTAGTGAAAATCTGTTTCTAGAAATCTAGAGGTATTCTGCCTGGATCTTTTTTTTTTTTTTTTTTTAAACTGGGGAAAAATGAATGCTTTGGCAGATTCTGACTCCAGTGTCTGACCTTGAGAAAGACCATTGAAAAATAATCTGTCAAAAGATGTAGTCTTCTTTTTCTCCAGTACTAGCTCACTCAGGGCATGGGCAAAAATGAAAGGGTGTGAGGCATGCTTCATTCCTTTGGAATCAAATTGAGGCATCTTGGGGAAGAACAAGAAGCAGGCACATTGTGTGCTTAAGACAAGTTTTGTGCAAGGCTTTAAAACAATCAAAAAAACCCCAACAAAACCTTTTTTTTGTGCTTTGAGTATATGCATGTTTGTTTGTATAAAATCCATGTAACGCAGAAGGTAGGTAATTTCTGTTATTTATACTGTTCTGTTACAGTGAGGTTAGTAGCAATACAACATGAGGTAATCAACTCAACTACACATTGAGCTGATTCCCCTACAGTGAATATACTTAGGAAATGTGGTAGATAGTGTGTTTTTGACAGAAGGAGAAAGTAAATGTGAATACTGGCTTTATGGAAGGTATTTAGGAGAGAAGCATATTGTGGAACCCACTGCAAGAAAACTGTAGGTACAGGTGGTAGCGGGAATGCTTCCTTACAGAAGGATGAAATTGTAGGTATCTGATTACTCACATATTCAAAACAGTAAGTTTTAAGAGGAGTAAATGGATGGCTACTCTTAATTACCATTTGACCAGCATAAGAACAACATGGACCTGCTCAAGTGGGTCCAGAGGACGGGCATGAAGATGATCAGGGGGCTGGAGCACCTCTCCTGTGAGGTCAGGCTGAGAGGCTGTTTAGCCTAGGAGAGAAGGCTCTGGGAAGACCTGATCGCAGCCTTCCAGTACTTAAAGGGGGCTTATAGGAAAGATGGGGGGGACTCTTCAACAGGGAGTGTAGCAATAGGACGAGAGGTGACAGTTTTAAACTGAAAGAGGGTAGATTTAGAGCAGATATTAGAAAGAAGTCCTTCCCTGTGAGGGTGGTGAGGCACTGAAACATGTTTCCCATAGAGGTTGTGGATGCCCCATCCCTGGCAGTGTTCAAGGCCAGGCTGGATGGGGCTTTGAGCAACCTGGTCTAGTGGAAGGTGTCCCTGCCTGTGGCAGGAGATTGGAACTACATGGTCTGTAAGGTCCCTTCCAACCCAAACCATTCTGTGATTTCTGATTCCATGACTTAGGCTTGGAACTGTTTTACTTGAGACTGTTGCAAATAGTGTATGTTAGAGGAAAATATATCATGCTGGTATTAATATAAATGTCAATACTGCTGTATTATCAGTAGGCACAAGTGCACGGTGCTGTCTGTGCTTGTGTGTGTGCTCTAACAGCCTCATCCTGCTCCCCTCTCTGGCTGAGCAGGATGGGGGTCCACTGGTGAGAATACACAGAAGTATACGTGTACAGAGTGGATCTCTCCCACAGTTGAGCTCAGACACTGTCTGCCCAGTAGCTGCCTCTGGAGTTGCTGGCACCTGGAGACACGTGTCCGTGGGGCCACAGCCCCGCTGCAGTACAGACCATCTCACTCGTATGTGCACTCTCGCACACTGCCAGCGTTGGCCAGGACTCCCCAGATTCCCATAGCCCCCTGGCTCTCACCCTTAGGTGCTGACACCCAGAGCTGGCCCTCGCAGACCCACTCACCCCTGGCTCCCAGGCCACTTCATCTGCTCACCAGCTGGCCCACCTTGGTCTCTGCTAGCAATCAGACACGGGCACTGGCTCCAGGTGCTGCAGCGTGAACTCATGGGCCTCTGTGGCCAGAGATCCTTTGCAAGTGGCTGACACTTTGGTTGCTCCAGTCTCTCCAGGTGCTGGCACCACAGACACATGGGCTTTTTGACCTGTCCCTGACTTCATTTGCTGGCACTTAGACCCCCATATACACACCTGCACACTGAATAAAGAGCTTCTCACCTGGGTAAGAGTTAGTAATGGGGTTTAATAAGAATCATAGAATAGTTGAGGTTGGAAAGGATCTCTGGTCCAACCCCCCCTGCCCAAGCAGGGCCACCTAAAGCTGGTTGCCCAGGACTATGTCCAGACAACTTTTCAGTATCTCCCAGGAGGGAGACTCCACCACCTCTGCCAGCACAGCCAGGACAGGCGGTGCTGATCAGATGCAGAGCATGGCCAGATAACTGTACTGACCAGCAAACTGTTTATGCACGACTGGCCCTTTTTATCCTCTTATTCCTCTATTTTCCCCACACTTGTTCCTTCCCAAATCACTTAGGCCCATCCATTTTCCCCACCTTTGGTTCCTTCCCTAAACATTCTATAATAAGTCTTCCAATCCCAAAATGATTTTCCCCTATATCCCATAGTGTGCCCCACCCTGGGCTGCAAAAGCCCTTAGTCCAAAAGGTGATCTGGAGAGCTGCTCTGGGTGACACGTTGTGATGGGTTTCATGCCTGGATAAGGGGGGTGATGGCACGGCGGGGACAGCCCTGGGAGGGCTGCGGGCAGGGTGTGTTTGTTGTTTGCCTGCTCTTCTTGCTCCTCTGGGCTTGTGCATACCCTGCTGGGATGCTCCCAGGCCCATCCCAGGAGCCATTGGCCCATCAATCACTGATGGCTCCTGGGATGGGTCTGGGAGCATCCCAGGAATGTTTTCTTTGGGCTTCCTGTGCTCCTCTGCAGGTGTGCAGACAAGCTTTTATCACTTAACCTGACAGGACCATCTGGAGTTACTTCTAGGTAGCAATGTTGGTAGCGCTACCAACAGACCTAAAGCAAAAAGAGAGAGCTACCAGCAGCATCTCTAAGGATAGCAGATGGTACAGGATGAATTTTGGAAAAAGGCAACTGTATAATGTTCTAGGGAAAATTATTCCTCTGTACATTCAGAGATGGGAGGGAGAGGGAAGTTAAATGGGTAATGCTTGTCTTGGCTATTAAATGTCATTATGTTTCTTACTGGAAATATATTTATAAAATATGTTAGGAAGAGCTTTTGTCATTTCATATTTACAGTTTCATCATCCTAATACCTCAATGTTGATATTCTTTACTTCTGAACATAATGTTGCATTATACTTAATTTTTATTTTTTTTTAATTTGTCATAAACTTTACTTTTGTAACAGCAACTTATTTTCTTGTAACTTTTCAGATTATTCAGATTATGAAGACAGTTCTGTTGAATTCTTGGACAGGTGCTCCTCTCCATTAACACGGTCCTCGGGGAGCTCTCTGACTTTGCGCAGCATGTTCTCAGAGAAGAATACATCATACCAGTATCCAAGAGCTATCTTGTCTGTTGACCTTAGTGGAGAAAGTAGGTTGGCTGAACAGCAACTTTCAGTTTGTAGGTTTAATTCTTTAAGGGAGAGAATGCTAAGGAAATAATTTGGTTTGTGTTTGGGATTGTAGCTATAAATGTAGTGACTGATTTACACTTCATCTATTTAAATCAAAATGCTTACACTCCTTAAGCTGTTCTGCATTGTACTTGCTTTGGTTAAGTGTTGCTACTCTGCTTCTGAGGAGATCACATTAAAGGCGTTTTGCAAAATTCATCAGAAATTTAATATACCAGCAGTGTGTTTGAGAGCCATTTTTTGCTATATGCAGGTTAAGATTTTTAACTGCCAAAACCCTCTATATTTCTGTAAAGTAGTGCATCTCTGCACACACAATTTCACATGTATTTATTTTTACTAGACCTTTCAGATGTGGAGTTTTTGGATGATTCCTCTACGGAGAGTTTGTTACTTAGTGGTGATGAATACAATCAGGACTTTGATTCGACTAACTTTGAAGAGTCTCAGGATGAAGATGATGCTCTCAATGAGATTGTTAGATGCATTTGTGAACTGGATGAAGAAAATGGCTTTATGATTCAGGTAAAGAAATTGGGGGGGATGGTATATTTTCCATTTAAATTTCTTGCTTGTGAAGGTGCCCTTTTGATGTGTTGGAGTCCAAAGTTATGTAGAGAGCTGTAAACAGAAGTGAACAATAACAAAATATTTTTATGTTCTGCACTTGGCATGACTCTGTTCGATGTATGCAGAACTATTACTCTAGGATGGGGTTTCTCTAACAAATCAATATGTAGAACAGATTTATAAGGAAAGGTAACCTTTTTCCTTATAGCCAGTTGATAAATTTGGAATAAAGTATCCTTTCCCACACAGAAATCATCACTTCTCTCCACAGACCATCCCGATTATACCAGCCCTTCTGGTTTGGCCCTTGTGCTTTGCAGTACCAATTGTAGAAACCACTCTGCTCACTGTAAATGTATCTCAGCTGTATCCAAGATCTCTGCCATGCAGACATTAATATTGTCAGTAACTGTGATGTGTGTGATGTGCATGCTTCATCTTTAGAATAGCAGTTCTCAAACTAGAAATCACTAGCTCATTTTAGAACCTGCTAAGATTTTAAATCTTACTTGGTGTAAAAGCAGGGGAGAAGAGTATACAGTGTCTGCACAGCATTCAAGTGCTGATGGATTGCAACTGCTGCTGCTTATTTATTTGTACTCCAATGAAGGGAGCATCTCCCATCTAGTAATGAATAATTTAAAGTTTTTGTCTCAAGGAATTCATAATATAGCGATTAGATCAAATGAAAGCAACAGTGAGGAAGAACTCAGTTGTCAGTAACTTTAAAAAAGCCATGAACTTCTTGTTGGTTTTTTTCCCCACTCGAAAACCAGGTTTGTATTCAACTATTTAAGTGGTACAGTTTCTGTAGAAAATATGGAGCCTTTTTAGTTGAGATTTGAAGGAAGGGAGTATGGCTGTCCTATGTTAATGGACTTAAAGTCTGGGAAATGACAGAAAGATCTGAAAACGAAGGACACAAAGACTGTCCCTGGGAACACACTGAAATGCAGCACTGTGTTGGAGGAACTAAGCAGGAGTTCAGCTATGCTAAAAATGTGGAAAAATGGACTAGCGTAGAAATTTTTGGAGAGAGGAGAGGAAGTTGTAGCCATAGCAGTGTAACAAGAGGAAAGGTGACTTCAGTGTTTTGAATAGGTTGATGCTCAAAAGCATGTCAAAGTAAAGAGGAGAGACTTTCAGTAGAAAAACAGCAGATATTTAGAACACAGGCAAACGCTCAGTTGAGAAAAGGAAATGTATTTTTAAGTGGTAGTTTCCTGCCCGTTTCTAAAGTCCAATGACAGCCTGATTTTTCCTCTTCATGCCTTGTCTCACTGAGAGCAACCAGTTTGCTGTTTCTAGGCCCTCATGTCTTACCACTTCTATTTTGCTCTCCTATTCTCTTGTTTCTCCTCTTTCATTTTCTCTTCATTTTCTTTTTCTTTTAGATTTTCCATTGGTGCGATATTAAAAACACATCTTTCTAGCGCACTGGAGAGATGCTTTGTAAATATAAATAATTAAACTGAAGAGTTTTCTACTTTTCACTGTTATGCTGTAATGTATTACATTATCTTTCTACTTTACTGTAATATTATACTCCTGTCTTATGTTTCACTACTAAATATTTAGGTGCTAAAATACTGAATGTTGTAATAAAATATTATTAAATATTACATCTTCAATTTCTTTTTTTTTTTTCCAGTCTGGAATTTGTGGTTGAGGTAACTTTCAGAACTAGAGCTTTTTTTTAGCTTGATGTCTTTGCCTACCCAAACACAAATTGCCCAACTAAAATAATCTTACTCAAACCAGCTATTTAAGTTAAACTGCTGTTCTCTGCATTTTGACGATACAAGAAGTAGCTTCTGATTTTTTTAATCTACTTATCTCAGTTTTAGTTTTTGCTTTTGTTTTTTTTCTGATGTCAGTGTGAAGAGTGCTTGTGTTGGCAGCACAGTGTATGCATGGGACTGTTAGAGGACAGCATTCCAGAGCAGTACATCTGTTATATCTGCAGAGATCCACCAGGTACGGGTAAACCACCTTTATCTGCATCTGTCTGCTTGGGATTTTTAAGCAGAGATGTTAGGCATTGCTTAAATTGTTAAAGCTCTGTCTGTTTTATGTTATCTGTTATACTTCTTCGGGGCAAGTGATTTGAAGTTTGGCTCTGAGCAGAAACTTGCTTTCCTGTTAGTAACATCCTGTTCAGCTATGCTAAATCTTACTCATGATCTTAATTGCCATTGCTTTAGTTGTTGAAACTTAATTCCCCCCAAACCTTAGCACTTTTTCATGTCATTGTAGTCTGAAAAGTCTTTCTAAACAAATCATTCTTTTCAGCGATCTGTTTTGCCTATACTTGGAATCACACCTGTTCATTTAAATTTTTTTTTTAGAGAAAAAGGACTCATTACCACAGTGCACTGAAATGCACTGTGGATGTCATTTCATATTAATTGCAATTTTATAATGTTTGTGCTTGTCTAGAATTGTGTAAATAAAGGTGTGGAACGGAATATGTAAAATGAAAAAATCTAGCACTTTTTATGGTAAATGATGGTGCACAAACAGCACATCTTGAACTCAGGCTTGTTAGAATAAGTTTGAAATGGTACGAATTAGGAAAAGTTTATTTACTTTTAAACTGAATGTACTTGATTAGGAAGATGTTGATTTAAAAATGGTTCTGTTCATGAACCCATTTTTCTTAGCAGTTATTTGGAGAAAAACTATATGATTTGGAAGAAAGGTTTTAGTATTTTTTTCTGACAGTTGGTACAAAAGCACATATGTGTCTTCTGGTGAAATATCCAACAGTCCAGGTGTTTTAAAAGGGTAATGAGACTACACCCCCAAATTTCCTTTAACTCTGAATTTAAGAAATGAAATCTGAAAATTGTTTGCAGAGGTACAAAATAGCACCATTTTTATTAGTTATTTTTGAGAAGGAAATTTAGGAAAATAGAGCTGGAAAGATGTGACTTTTTCCATTTGCCCCAATCTGAATCTAAATTGATGATATAGAGTCTTGTTTGATAGTTCTGTGTGGTGTACTCTTTGAGCAGTCAAGCTTTTTCTTATTAAAACCAACTAATTTGTCTTGTGTTCTTTCCCTGCACTGTACTAGGTACTTCGTTATCCCCTGCTATGCAGAGACTGTGTCCCTAATTTTTATCTTCTCTCCCTTCCTAACCATTACTTCTTTTCTTTCTATGTCAGGAGAAAAAGGTCATTCACAATGTCAGTATTTTAAAGTGTATTGGGATAATGGGCAGAAAGGAGATAGACAGGGTATTCTCCTGAAAGGTATGAAGGGCTTCCATCAACCCATTCTTTGTTCTGTATATGATGATAGTCTGATATGAAATTGAGTGTAAGATATTGCGGTCTTAGTCAGTCTGTTTATCTGGGTTCTTCATTGTAAACAATAATATTGGAATAACTAGCATTATACATTTCTAGTTTTGTTTTTTGTTTTTTTTTGTGTTTGTTTTTTTTTAAATAGTTATTAAGTTACTATAGAAGCATTAGCTAAATACTCAGTCATGCCTGTTGGTTTACGATTGTAGATGTTGCCATAGGATGGGAGACCTAAGGCCCACTTACATCAATATCCTGTCTAGTAGTGCCTGGTAAAAGGCACCTCGGAGGAGAGTGTGAGAACTGTGCTGTCAGATAACTTTGAAATGTCTGCTTTCATGAAGTCTTCTCTTGGCTTCTAATAAATAGATACTGACTTCAGTACTGAAGCAAAATATTTGTCTTTTAGAAACGAACTAGGTGTTTTGGATATGTCCATATAAAATCCACTCTCTGAAATTTCTCTTGGTAACTCAGGTTTGCTTTTTTTTTTTTTGAAGTAAGCTGCAGTAGTTAGATAAATAAAATACTCATGTAAACTTTTTTTTTTCAGTTTGATAATAGCACAGCTCTTGATATCCTGTACTTTGATTGCAAAGGTGATTAGATTTTCATTTCAAATGCCATTTAGAGAGGTCTTGAGATTTCAGGTTTATTTTTGTTTACATAACTGTTAAGAGTTTCCTCTTAATCGTGAAAACTAAATTTTAATATATTAATAGCAAGATCTTGAATCATTATTTGATGGATGTTAGGAGACATTTAGGAGAGTACAGCATATAATTATAGCACTCTAGTTTTAAATACAATTCTGCTGTGGCTTTAGATGGCCCTCAATTTGTTTATTGCTTACCCCAGGTCAGAGGTGGAGTGCCAAATATCTTTATGATAAAGACTGGCTTAACAATGGACACATGTGTGGATTATCATTTTTGAAAGAAAACTACTCTCATCTTAATGCCAAAAAGATTGTGTCAACACATCACCTACTGGCAGATGTATATGGTGTAACTGAAATATTGCATGGACTGCAGTTGAAGATTGGGATATTAAAGTAAGTATCAGTCCAGGTTTATTCTCCGTCTTTATATATTTAGGTAGCAGAGACTACCATTATTCCATATGCTTTATTCTCTCACGTTAAAGTTCTTTCTTGTATAATAGTTTAAATAATTCAAGATGTAGAATACCCTCAGCTTCAGTGGGAGTTAGGTGTTCAGCACCTGAGCAGATCCGGTGCATTGGGATTATTGGTGATTTTTTGGTTTTTTTTAAAGTCAGTTTTTGTGTTAAAGGGACATTCTGGATTTATCCTAAATTGATAAGTGACCTAGCAATACTTACATGTTTGATAATGGTGCTTATCAATAGCTCCGATATAGCAGAAGTGGATGCTTAATAGTTTAGGGCTGTAAGTGGTATCTTTATAACTTACTTTTTTCCTCCCCTTCATTGCAGAAATAAGCATCACCCAGACCTTCATCTCTGGGCTTATTCAGGGATGCGAAAAGAACAAGAACAAATAACTGTTGGGGTAGAGAAAAAATTAGTGACTTTGCCAGATGCTGTTAATCCAACTGAAAGGACGTGTCACAGTCAAAACCATAAAGAGCCGCCCAGTATACCCCAGAAGATGGAAGAAACGTACATCACAAGTGAGCACAGTTACCAAAAACCACAGAGTTTTGGTCAAGACTGCAAAGCAGTCACTGACCCTATCAGCTCAGATGATGAAGATACAAGTAGTTTTGAGGAAGATCAGGAATTTCACACAGAGAATAAAAACTGTTTACAATATTCTTTTAAAGATGATGGCATGAATGAGCAGGTAAGTATCCTTCTTCATCTGGGAAGTTTCTTAGGTGGAAAAATATGTTCAATCTGATAAACCTCAAGTGCATACAAGTATTTAGAAATGTTCATTGTTCTAAGTTGACATACTCTATCAAATGTCAGCAGAAATCACTAGAAGCAAAGTTGGATGACTGAAATAGTTTCAGGTGAAGTATACCCATTTCAGCTGGTGAATGAAATGCAAAGTTTGGTTAAAGTATTGCCTGTGCTAAAACTGTTTATGCTCAGTCCAGTGTTGAGGGGCATGGGATGGGTGGGAATCTTATGCTTAAAATGCAGAGTCTTGAAGAAAACTTATGTGTTTTTGCGAGGTGAGGAAAATGGGACAAGTTTCCTTCTTCCTCTCAATTCTGTTTTCTACGTGTGGGTTTTTTTGTTGTTGTTTGTTAAACTGAGGTTTGTAATAGTGTTTATTATTGTACTGTGTTCTTCTTTTAATACCAACGCTATCTAGAATTCTGTCCACAAGGAATAATTTACTGACCAACTAATTTCACCTCGTGTGCAACTTGTTTTGAGTCTTTTATATTGCGTATTTCTTCTAATTAAATGTTTCACAGGTTTTTAGTCAGGATTATATTTGGCTATTTAAACATCTCTCTCTCATTTTTGCATTAATGGTTTGAATCCATTACTTTGTGGAAAAGGTCTGAACTTGTTAGTCTGGTTTTAGTGAAGAGTTCTTTAGTGAAGAGAAGTTGAGCAAAAAACAAAGTGAAACAAACCTTTCTGTTTTCTACAATACCAACTGTGTGAGAATAAATGGCCCAACTCATCCCCCCTTTGAAGTACAGTTTCTGGTGTGGAAGAAATGAGTAAGATACATCTTTTTTCTTTTAATTTTAGTTTTAAATGTGGCATGTAAGCTATATAGTCTGAATGGGAAATTTTGGCTCGTTCTAGTTAGAAATAACTGTTTGTATGCTAAATCGCATGATTATATTCAGTTTTTATAGTAAGGAGATATGCAGCAGTGTGAAATACACTTTCCTTCCAACAGTACCTTAAATTGTCATTGTAAATAATATAAACATATTTAGAATTAAAAGAAAATACATGTGAGCAGTGAAACAAACTAATGTTTCCTTCAGAGACCAAGGCATATATGTAAAAAGCTAAGTGCTGTCTGTTTTAAACCAGGAAGAGATCTGTTTGGGGCAGTGTCTTTCCTTTGGGACACATTTAGTTCACCTTGTTGTCAGTAGTCAGCCTTGATATCTGAAATAAGGCTTTCTGTCTAGACTTAATCCACATTGAAAAGCTCTCCTTGGTTTCTCCATGAACCTGTTTGTACTTACCTTAAAACCATGATGACGCTGACATTGAAGTGCCATTTTTACAAGAACTGCCTTCTCTGTAAAGTGCCTTCTTCACCTCTCCTTGTCAAAATATTGTCTGGGGCTTTGGATTCTCCCTTCTGGCACCTGCAGAGCCTTGAATATTCTGATTTTCCATACTGTTTTGTCTTATCCTGATCTACAGTTCTGTTACATATCTTCTTTCTCTTTATAAACCAGATTGACTGTTATCAAGTCCCTTTTTGGACTATGCATCATCTTTAAAATTGTATTTAGTTTCCTTGTTCCTGCTTCTGAAAGCACAAGCCTTCCGCACCTGAACCTCCTGTTTATTTCTTCTTCATAAACTGGATCCTGTACTCTGCTTCTCTTACTACCCCTGCCACCACTCCCTGATTGCCTACATTGATGTCTTAGCTTAGAGAAGGACCTGTTCGGTCTTGCGGGTTTTGTTTCAGGGAGCCATTTACTAGCCATTTGAATAAATACAGAGGCCATTAAAAGGAAGAAAAAGTCTTTTATGATGTTATTTAGATGACAAGTTATTTAGCTTTAAGACTTTAACTTACTGCAGTGGGCGTCTAAAAGATTCACCTAACAGATGATCTTGATTTTAGAATTATGGACTTGGGCCCTCGTACAGCAAGGGAATTCTTCTCTCGTGGTTTTAGAGAGGGTCTGAAAATTGTAATACATAGGGCATTTCTTATTTATGCTGAAAAATACCTTTATCAGATTAATATCAATTTGAATAGTGAAAACACCAGAGGCAAACTTGATGTCTTGAGCAAAAAGATTTTATCTGAAAGGTTTGGGAGTTTAGAGGCTTTTATGACTTTTAAAATCTATCTTTGATAAATAACTCCTTTAATGAATATTGTGAGTATTAACAATACTTGTTCTCCAGGACTCGCTCATAAAGCTGCCAGCAGGTTGGTCCAAGTTTGATTTGGTTTTTTAATTGATTTTAAGTCTTAAAAAGAAAGTTGTTCTGCTTAAGAAGTAACTTAAAATCCATCAGTCCCTATTTTGTTCCCCTCTCTTCTCACTGTTGTCATTCTTGACTGGAGGAAGAAATACTTTAAGAAAAAAATGGTGTTAAGTCTGTTATGTGACGTGGAAAAAAAATCAGCTGAGCGCTTCTTCAGAGAAGTGTATTAATAGGATAAAATTCACTCCTTGCTCTGACATTTGCCATGAACTGACACTGCGTGAGCACACGTATGCAGCATTCTAGTCCCTAAAATAGAATCATAAATAGTGAAAGAACTTCATCAGATATGAAGTCATAGTGGTTATAAAATGGAAACTGTGAATCGTGCTAATCAACGGAGATGCTGAACATTTTAACTCATTAAATCCGGCATACTTCCTTTGGTCATTTCCCTGAGCTGAAACGTCAAATACAGAAAGATAAGGAACTTGTGTATTATGTCTGACTTGCTATGAAGATACTAATTATTTCAAAGAAGTCAATCTTCCTCAGAAACTATGTTTGCATAACTCTGCGTGTTACTGCCCTTGTAACTATCCCCAAACATGTACAATTCTGTCCCAGACTTGTGCTTGCAAGTGGCAAGGGACCATAGCAATAGTAGGAAGAGAAGTCTTTTGTCTTAATCCACAAATAGAATGGCCAGCTTGTTTATGAAAAATAGTGATTGACGTCTTAGATATTACTGCATTTTAGAGAGTTTTCCTTCATTCTCTGGCTAAAGTTGAAACAACCCTTAGGGTTTTGCACATCTTTTGGTGACAGTAGACCAATGCAGTTCACTTAATGATTTAAGTCACAATTTATATACAAAGGGCACAGAAATGCAGTCTGTCTTACTGCGTTAAACAAAGTGCTTGAGCTGGTAAACTTTACCTCTTGCCTCACTCCCCCAGTGCTATACATGCTCATTTGTATGGAATTTGCATTTTGTTTGGTTTAGTCTATTGGTGTGTCATGGTACGTGGCTTTCTGAGTATGCTTTTTTTGTCAGGTAGTCAGAAGTACAATTCTAAAACAGCATAGTTTATCATATGACTCAAGTGTTGAAAGCAACACCAGAAATTAAAAGAACACAAAACAAAAAAAACCCTCTTAAATGGCAATTTTTTTCTTTCTGTTGCTCCTATGAAGAAGAATTCTGCTGAAGGAAACACTGTGTTTGTTTGTAATGAAAGAAAAGGCTCAGAAGAACAAGTGGACACACATCTTCAATGGCAGCTAAATCTCCTTACCCATATAGAGAATGTACAGAACGAAGTCACCAGCAGAATGGACCTGATTGAAAAAGAAGTTGATGGTAACTGCATTACCAGATACTTGTTAATACACCTGTAACAGCATATTTCATAGCCACTGTGTTGAAGGCACTGAGGATGGATTTTTTAAGTATTGTATTCAAATTTGGGTACCCAAAATTATAACCAGAGCTTGTACCCTTGATCCCCCCCCACCGCCTTCCACAAGTTTTCAGTGCCCAATAAAGTAGCTTAAGCACTCAGGACCCCTGAAAATTTGGCTCAAGTTTGTGATATTAGGCAGACTTCAGAAAGCTTAGATAACTTGTCTAGTCTTTGTCTGGATAAGGATCATGAAGTTGATGGATTTTTCTATGCCTGGAGTGTTTTTGGCCTGATTGGTTTAGTAATTGACAATGTTTAGGAAAAAAAAATGCATTCGTTCTGCCTTCAACTTTGGTTTGCTATATATTAGTAAGTAACTGGTTTCGGGAAGGCAAATCAGGCTTCATGAGAAAACCTGAATGAAATTACAGTGTAGGTGTAAATATTACAGCACGTAAGTTTAGTCACGAGTCATAAAAATTAAGAATGAGGTGAGTTTGTAGTCTAGTCATAGGAGTCTCATTATCTTTTGACAAATAAAGTTGTCTTATTCCTATTTGCAGTTTTACTTTCAATATTCCTGCTCATACTAGGCAGTATTTCTAGGCTAACAGGGTTGACCTTTTCCCTTCTCTGCCTCTACAAGCATAGCAATTCCTTGAAAATGTTTGTTGAAGATTGGAAAACCATTCTGTAATCTGGACCTTTTAAGTAGGAGCCTGTTAAAGTGACAGAAGCAAGCCTTGCATTTAAGGGTTGCTTTTTCTGTTGCAGAACTGTCATAGCAAGAAGATCATGAACTAAAGTTTCTTATATGTGTGTAGAAGGTAAATTGTTAGCCAAGGGTATAATTTGCTCCGAGGTTACCTTTTTATAGTAACAATCAAATCAGAAGAAATGTTTGGATCGTTTGAGTGAAACACGGACTTAATTGGTGTTTCCCTAATCAAAATTGCTTTTGTTAAAAATCCCAGCCTCAGTATATTTTCCCTTCTTATAAAAGACAGAATAAGAAAGAAAAGTTTAATTTTTATGTAAACTGTTTCTTGAAGACTTTTTCTAATCAGCTTCTTCCTTTTCCTTCTGTAGTTTTAGAAAGCTGGCTTGATTTCACTGGAGAACTGGAACCACCAGATCCTCTGGCAAGATTGCCTCAGCTCAAGCGACGTATCAAACAGCTCTTAGTTGACATGGGAAAAGTACAGCAAATAGCAACGCTTTGCTCTGTATGACAAAAGGAAGAATAAATAAATACAAATAGATTCTTCACAGTGAATTTTCTTACTAGCCACAAGACTGACAGGAAGACAGCAAAAAGCTGAGCATTTATCTGGTTCTTTGCTGATTACATTAATAGCCTGAAGCTTTAGAGAGGGGAGAGGAAATTTAGAGTAAGGAATCTGGTATATTGAAAATCTGAATATTCAATGTCCAGGCTTCAAAATGTAATATATTACATACTGAGAAATGTTGATATCATTTTAACATGATAAACAAGAAAATGCCCGCATACAAGAAAGTTGAACAAACAAAAACTCTGCGAAGAACAATGCTACTATCTTGAAACCTTTGGCAAAAAATTATTAATTTGCAGAATTCAGCTGACTAAAAATTCTTGGGAACTGCTTTTTTAATGAATTCCTCTTATCTTGCTAGTGAAAGATAGACACAGAGAGATATGTATCCTCTCTACAAGGAAAGTTTTTAGATTATTTCCTTCTCTCGTGAATGTTCAGGAAAACGAACATACTAGCTTTGTTGTTTTTTTTTTGAAAGAAATTACTTATCATGGTCTCCTTTTTAAAATATTTTTTTAAATAGAAATCCTTATTACAGCACCCTTAGGCTCCTTGTAAAATATAAGTGGCAAATAGTGGTCAGATGTGCCAAACAATATTAAAACCACTGGGATGAGAATTTAATTACGACTTAAATGAAGGCTTTTCCAAAGTCCTACTTGGTGCCAGCAATCCATCCAAAATTGTGTCTAGTTTATATTTTTTTTATGTTCTATTGCAGTATTCAGGATTTAAGGTACAATTTTTGTCCTGGGTAGCTTTGTTCTGGTGTTGGCCCTCTGAAACTTTACCATCCTCAGCTGGGATGAGGAATGACAAGAGCAGCAAAACTCTGTGGCTTTGAATATACTAAACCACTAGAATAAATATCACAAAATAGATTATCCAAGATGTTTTTATAAAATCTTTCAGCTTCAGTGAATGAAATGTCCTGAAACCAAAGGCAACCTACTTGCTCTGTTAGCTCTTGCTGGATTTTGAGCCCAGGACTTTCCCTGTGCTTATAAGTTGCCGTTGTACCCAGTGCTACATACATATTTGTATGTGTATGTATATGTGTATAGATACACATGTACATATATACATACTATATACATTTATATCTACACATGTCTAGTTTTATTACAATAGACTTTAAGAACTGGTGGTTAACATGAAATGTTACCTTTTAACAAGCAGTTTCTAAAATTGAAAATAATGTATGTACAGGTTTTGAAATTTGTAAAATATGACTGTTAAAAGGAGGCTATTTAACTGATGACATTAAGATACTTGAACATTTTATGCCTCACATCTGTTTATCAGTTCTAGTTATCTGTATAAATGCATTTTAGAACCGATAGACAGTAAACTTGAATTTACCTTTTGATAAGAGTACAAGCCACTGTACATTCAAAAATTATTTAAATTTGCAAACACACTGTTCTATATGTAAGGTACTGTATGTAAAACTGTTTATTAAAACTATTCTGCATACTCTACATTTTCCACTTTTCTTCCTGATCTACATACAAATGTAAAAAAGTGATTGTTATAATGTACAGACCATCAAAAATCAAAAAATCCTGGAATGCCTTTTGAGGATGCATAAAATTTTAAAATGTGCCAAAGATGGATTATCTGGGAAAGACTTTGCAACCAGTGCATTGAACTTTCATGATAAAACCATTATTGAGAAAGAAAGCAGCATGGCTGGTTCATTGCTAAAATAAACCTACCCTGACATTTCCTATCTGTCTATCATATCTGAAATTATCACTCTTGATGTCCAAAGCAAACTGTAAACCCCTGTTACAGAGTGGTTGCTATTTAAAAAGTCTTGCCGCATCAAGCTTATAGGAGACATTACAGAGCTGCATGGTAACATGGAAGTTAATTATGGAATCATGATTGGCAACTTCATAATGCAGAAAGAATACAAGAGCTGAGGAGTTGTTGACATTTTTATAGCAACTGTTAATAAATAAAATACTCTGTGTTATATAGTTGGATGCTTAAATAACTGCTTCAAACAATATGAATAGTTGAGTGACCTACTTGCTTTTGGATATGTGAGACTTTTATATATTATTCACTTGCTGCATATCCTTGAATGTGGTACTGTGTGTACTGTATAAGAGAAGTGTAAATCCGGATGAATTACTTTGAAACAAAGTGGAGTGTATTTACATAATTTATACAGCATACACTGTAGCAATATTATGCAATGTGTGTGCATGCGTGTGATGTAATATAATTGTAAATGTTGCTGAAGGTTAGCTGGACCGAGAGATTCCAGGTGGGAGGACGGAGGTTTCATTTTTACAGAGATGGAGGAATGGTATTCTGAAAAGGAAATCGTAAGGTCAAAGTTAAGGTTGCCCTTGCAGCTTTAACTTGTCTTCTGTTTGTATATGTAATGGTCTCTAAATTTACATGAGTATGTAATTTTATCCCTCAGGATCCTGCCTTATTCAGGATGGGCTGTGCTTACAAAAACAAATAATCTGTTCGTTATTTTTTTATCTTCATTTCTTGTGTAGTCATGTATTATAAAAATTTCTGCTAGCTTTCATATCTTCTAAGAAATACAGTCTCAGTGTCCTTATGGACAGTGCTATGATGCATTGTGTATTGCTTGAATGCTTCACAAACTTGTCTGAGTTTGCTTTCTCGAAGTGTGATGTTAGTCTGTAACGTGCACATTAGTTTTGGCCCCAGTTTCTCAAGTATTCAAAGGTTTGGGATGCTTTTGGAAGTTTTTCTTTAAACACTTACAAGTCAAGTGCCATAAAAATGCTAAGTGTTTTGCACAGAATGTAACCTACAGTTGATTGCTTTGCTTGTGTGCCAGTCAAACCTGATGTGATCTGGCTCGTACCGGTATTTCTTCTAGTTGGCCTTATCGAGAGACTCTTTTTCCTGTAGGCATCGTTTTCCATCTGTCTTCCTACTTCCTCTGTAAATAAGCCAGGGATCTACATGCAGTCTATTTGCAGCATCATATATTGGGGTGTGAATTGCAATTGCTTGTGCTGTATGATGATGGAGGCAGACCCTCTCTGAGGAAGAAATAGTATACGGCAATGTAAGGACTTCTTTTTGAAGTAAAAGTTTTAAATTTGCAGCCTTCTTTTAACTTAATATAAGTTTTCAATAGTAATAAACAAAAGGGAAATGCTGTTTCACAGGGCTAAATGGCAAACTTGCGGTGCCTTTAAATGCCCAGCTTTTTGTCTGCTGGTTGTTTTTTTCATGGAGGTATCAGGGTGATTCATTTCAAAGCCTCCTCCTTCCTGTGACCATACTGTAGGCATCTACATCAGGAATTCTGCATTTTCAGTTGCAGTGATGGCAGTAGGACATCAGTATTGCAGTCATAAATGAAATGTAGTCTTGACATGATCAGGTACCACATGATGGGGCTGCCTGTGTTTCAGTGACAAAGTGGAGGTACTTTAAGTGATGTGGCAGGGAATGGGTTGGAAGATGCTTCCAGCTAACCCTTTTCTTGGGTAGCTGTAGGTTGAGTAGTGCCCATATTTTGGGTATTCTGGCCTTAGATGCGTAGATCTTTGTTCAACTGTGGAGTAATTTACAGTGGTAGAAGCCTGTCGTTCTCTTTAAAATAGTCAAAGAAGGTGGGTTGCAGTTTTCTGATGGATTTCACGTACTTGCTTGGTGGCAAAGAATTGAAACTGTTCTTCCATGGATGCAGTCTTCTTGTATGGCTGACATGCACCTGTCTCGATTTTGTCTCTGAGCTTCTACATGTGCTCCTCATCTGTTCTGGAGCTTGCACCTGTTTCTCCTTTTGTTCTTCAGCTTTCTGCATACTCTACTGTATACTGGCTTCTTCCGTGATGCCCAGAGGGTTTCACTCCTCTGTTCTTGTGCCCAGTTCTTTCTGGCTGCTGTGGGAAGCAGTCGTAGGGAAAGGTCTCTGCTCTCCTGTCCTCAGCCTCCAGTGTGTCCTATGAGCTGTGCACGGTTGGAGTGTGTGTACCGTGATCAAAAAGTTCAGATGTTTTTGCTGCCTGCCTTTAGGGAGTCTCTTCTGATCCTGGGCAAGTGGTGATCTGCCTCTACTCCCATCTGGCTTCTAACTTAACTAGACTTGAACGCATATTACAGTAAAACCTCTCTGGCACTGTTTGGCCCCAGCACTCCTTACCAAACTGAAGGTTGGGATGTAAAGGAGTCACTCGAAGATCACAATAAAATTATAGAAGTATTTTGATGTTTGCAAACCAGAATGTTGTCCTTTTGTACTTGAAGGGAAACTGCAACTATTTTTCTTTACTGAAACTTTAAAATTTAGACACAAAAGAGGTCCTGAACTGAACTGGAGCTTGATGTAAAAATCAACATCAAAAGTAGGGGGTGGGAAGCACTCTGCAAACAGGGGCTTCATAACAAGAAGTGTGCAGTCAGGCCATCTTGACTACTTCGCCCTGTTAGTAGTTATATGTGTAAACGGGGTGCATGCAATGATGCCATTCATTTGCAAACAGGACCCATCTTTGCCATGTCAGGTTTAGAACACTGGAACCGTAGGTTTTCTCTCTACTGCTTAGAAGTGTTACAGTACATGCACCTTAATTTTGGGGGGCTGTATTAAGGTCAGAGGCTTAATCACTTTTGAAATGCCCATTGCTATTCTCACATTTTATTAGCTGACACTCTTTGTTTCTGTTGTACTGAGTCCATATGGCTCTAGGTGATCATTTTACAGAGGATGTTTGAAATACTTCAGTAATGGTTTTTATTATACTCTGTTATGTCCTGGGCACTGGGTGTGGGGGTCTGTCTTTAGCAATAAGTATTATACACTATGTGTATATCTGTTTATATATGGAAAACAAATATGGAGCATGTAATGATGGTGAAAATACACTGCACAGAGAGCAGATTGTGCATTTGGCAGCCATTCTGCACCAGCCTGAACAACTCAAATGAAAAAATTGGAGTCCACATGGAGAAAATGAACTAGCGTGAAAAATCATTCAGGAGTGAATTTCCCTTCCCATACACACTAGGCCTGTGTGTAAGCACTACATGAGCCAGCCTCATTCTATGGATTGAATAACTAAAGCTAGTTCAATCGCTGTTTATTTCAAACAGCAGCCTTCCTTTCTTTAAAACTGGCCAGAGCCACCTCTGTTCAGCTGTAGCCATGTGTGTCAGTGTATTGTCACTAAACACTCTGAGAGAGGCAGCAGTGCACTATTATTAAATCTTCTATGAGAGAAGCAAAATACTTTCTTCTGTGATTTGTTTTTTATAATAGCAATAATGTTGACTGCATTCTAATACTTACAATAAAGGTCTGTTGAGATTGTTATGTGCCTGGGCTCCCATTCAGTGGACTTTTGTTTTGGTGAGCTAGTGAGTGCTGGTATACATTTTAAAGCATTAGGGAATCTTCAGTTGCGTTTTTTGCCTGTAGTCAGTAAGCCCTATGCAGTCATCGATACTCATTTATTTGTATACATTGCAAAGCTTTAGGGAATCTTCAGTTGTATTTTAGCCTGCAGGCAAATTATGGAGTCAGTAAATTATTTACAGTACTGAATTACTTACTGGGTGGCGAAATAATTAGAAGACTTTTCTGTTCCTGAACTGCTTTGGTGTTTAACAATTTCGGGGTTTGAGTTTTGCAATGCACTTGGTTCTTGAAAGACAATGTCTTTCAATGACTCATTCCCAGTGATGGCATCTCTTCTTGTGGGCAGACGTCTGCCTTCTAAGGGTCTTTCTAGTTTTGCGCCTTTGTACAACGTCATTACAAAATAACCAGTTTGCTTTTAGCGATTTATTTTAATATTGCCTACACGCTGTTGCTCAGGACGCTACTGTAGTAGGAAAGAAATAAGCAAAAGATGCTAAGAAAGTTCCTGTCCTAGACGTCCTGTGGAACAGGGTGCAAATGGGTAAGCGGCAGGTGAATGAAATCAGACAGAAACTAACTGAGTTGCTAACACAGAAAAATGTCTCTGTTGTTCCCAGCAAAAATAGGTATCATCTTAAACATGCAAGAAATTTCAAAATTTTAATTCTGAAACAGATATTTTAATTAGTATTGAAGTACAGTCTTAGAGCGGTCTTTCAGATTTAAGGTAGGAGGCCAAATTCAGATCTTGGAGTAATATGCTGAAACGCTTTTTCTAATTAGTAGACTTATTAAAGAAGAGCTTTCCTGAGACAGACCAAATACTGAGCCAGCCCAATGTATAACCTTCAGTAGAAATACAGTGTCAGCATCTGTAGAAACATACTGACTATAGAAGATCTGTACAAATTGGTCTTTCCCTTAAGGTATCTTTCACTTCTGGTAAACTGAGGTTTCCCTTACCAAAATCTTTGTGAAAACAGTGAGTTTAATTAGTCTTTCATTCATTTCTCTCCACAACATCAGGTGGTGTTACTGAATTCCCCAGCTGTGTTGCGTGGCAGGAGGAGTCGTGTTTGTCCTTGAACTTGCTTTCTGACTCCATACGCTGT